TGGATGTAAGTTGTGCTGAGGTGGTAGTAACTTTACTATTTGACCTATGTAGTTACTAGGTGACTGTATCTGCTTCTAAGCTTATAAAGATAATTTGCCTGTTCAGGGATCTTCACACCTTAAGAAAATCAACTTCATAATCTCCAGAGTGTGATAGTTTGTACTTAAATATCGCAGAACATTTGGCTGAGACATGTTTACTAACCAGAACTAGACAGGAGATCGTAACAAAGCTTGGGACAGAACTGAAAACTCTGGGTCTCTTTAGGACAATACTGTGTCTAAAACCCAGTCTGGCTGAAGTTTCATGATTGCTTTAGATAATTTAAGTCATAACTGGAGGCTGTATACAAAAAGAATGGACTGATCTGTCTAGTACATGCATTCATCCCTCCTCCTTCACATTGGCACTAGCGTTGAATTTTTGAGTAACAGCTTTGATCAAGAAACCAATCCAGCTGTAAAAGCCAATCCAGATAAATAAAAAAAGAGTATTCAGCTCTCCACACAGCCTGACCAGAAGTGAGTCAAGTGAAAGGGGAATGGCAGCAACAGTAACTTTTGTAGGAGATGGGGCACAACTGCCCTCGACAGCAGCCTACACCAGGGTTAGTTTAAAGTTGTCATGAACCTACAAGCATGGTGGGAACATATATGAGATTTTTGGATCACTCGTGAAACATTTGCCATGTGTATTTTGAACAGTTACTGTTTGTCCTTGATATAGTAGCAATTGATCATCAGCACTGTTTTTATTAGTAGATTGAAAATGATACTGGCTTAAAACTTCTGTCTCTGGCCTTTTTATAAATACTTATTTAATTTTCAGGCAAATATTTTGCTTCCCAAAAAACATCCCAATGACTGTAAAATCAATTAATTTTGCAGGAAGGTTCATAGCATTGTGAGCATTATTACAAAAAAATTTTAGTTTGCAGATCTTTTTTGTAATGTTTATCCAAACCTAGCTATAATCCTAAGCTATAAAACTAGCTTCACTAGGATTCATGTGAGAATGTTGAGATAAAATTCTGTGGTTTGTCTTTTGCAGGAAGTCAGGTGAATTTATCAATGATCTCTGCTGGTCTGAAAAAGTACACGAATCCCAACTGAAGGCATAACATGGCAGAACAGTGTGGTTCGGCTCTGAGGCAAGACCGTATTTGTAGAGAGGGAGAGGGAAAAACGTATTTGTGAGCCGAAGAGTTGTTTAATGTTTTGATTCTAGGAACTGAGAATTTCAAGGAGGTAATTTCCTCAGCTTTTCAATGCATTGATCTTTGAAGTAACATCCAGGCTTTGGTTGAAAAGAGTGAATGAAAAGTTAACCTCTCTCAGTGGGTGTGTGGGTGGTGGGTTTTTTTTAAGCATATTAAAACTGGTGCTATTCGGGATCTTTTATATGCATCTTAATGTCTTCTTTCATTTTGGGGAAATGGTAGGCAAAAATGGGCTTACCTTGAGAATAAACTTGATTTTCTTGTTACATCAAACTTGGGCATAATTTGAATCAAGTCATTGGAATTACAATAGGCTAGGCTAAAGCTGGTGAAAAATAGGTTTGTTGGAAAATCAGAATTCATGCACAACTATCAAAATGTAAATACACTTAATCCCTATTAAAACTAAATTTGCTTTCAGTTAATAACTACTGTATTCGTAAATATAACACATGAATTATAAGATTCATGAAGTTTAATATTTTCAGACATCATATCTTGTTTAAAATATGAAAATGTTAATTTTATTGAGCTAATAGGTTTTCCAGTTTTCCAGCAGGGACCTTGCAAACTGTTCAGATGTGATCAGTGATCCTTGAAAGCACAGCTTATTGTTTAAAAAACCAAAACCAACCCACAACCACAGCCAACAAAAACCAGTCCGATTTAAATGTCTTTTCTACTGATCTTCTAACAGGTTAATTACTAACTAGCATTTGCTGCTTGTTTTACCCTCCCCACCCTCTGTCCTTCACTGCTCATTCCCTCCTTTAAACTTCTCATTGTCACTGAGTGAATAAATTTTCCACCCTTCTTTCTTCTTGGACAGGAGGAGCAATGTGATGCAACTTTTCTAGCAAGAACAGAAAGTAGTTTTTCATGTCTTGCAGTCTGACCATCTCAGTGGTCTACTAGCCTTCGCTGAAAAGCAGCTTGTGTTCCCTCCCACCTGCCCTCGACCCCCTTTGAAAACCCCTCAAAACTAGAAGAACAGAATAACAGTTCTGGGAGGTTCTGATGGTGAATGTTATCTGTATTCTTTGCTTTCTCTTTGTCTTAAACTTATTTGTATGTGCGCGCATTTATTATTTTAATAACTTCATAGGAGGAAGCAGCTATATATATTTCTACAACATCAAGCCTACTTTGATTTACAAGCATTTTATTCTCCAAGTGCACAGCAAAGGAAGGGACAGGCCAGACTCACTAGCATTGACTAGTGCCACTGTTTTGGGGTGAGGGACTGTTTCTATCTGCTAAAAGATGGACTAGGCCATTTTGGACAGTTAGTGATTTAATGGTTTTGTTTTTCATACCACAAAGGTACAGGATGCTAACAAGATACAAAGCCAGCTCTGCATTCAGATTGAGAGCAAATATGTGGATGGAGATCCAGTCGTAAGATTTTACCTTTGCCTGCCTTTGAGGAATGATGCTGGTGGTGCTGCCTGCCAAACCTGAGTTTTAGAAGCAACAGCAACTATCCTGCGGGGGATAGGTAAAGTGATTAGTGCCCCTGTCTGCACACAAGGTAAATAGGTAGTGAAAGAGGCGAACAAAGAATAGTAGGACAAGAAGCTTGCATTTCTGTTTTGCCGTCCCAGATAAGGAGCAGGCTGTACAGAACGTGCCCTTCTATGTTTTTTTCCTTCTGACCTCTTTGGCTGTGGCACAGTAAGTGTTGCCTCTCTGTCATAAATTTGAAATGAACTGATTGTTTCTCCAATTGCTAGTGGGCTGGATGTTTCTATTTCTCATTGGTAATGTGGCAGATGTAGTTTGCACAGCATCACTTATAACTGCAGAGATTGTTTATTCTTGGTTTTATATCACCCTGTTGGATGTTATCATTCCAAAGGATGTTGTTGCGGTGGGTGATCAGAGAGCTCTACTGTGCATGGAACTGATTTTGGGGGTTTAGGGTTTTTGTTTTGTCCCTGCAAAATACAAATGAATTAATGAAGGAAAGCAGCCTTTTAAGTTTTTGAATTAGAGCTAGAATGATATTGGTGACGCGGATTTCAGAAGTTGCAGAATTAGGGATCTCGACAGGACCAGTAGGAAAACTGCAGTCTTAAGAAGTTCTGTATATTTATAACAGAAAAAAACAACTAGAACTCAAAGTTTGAAGGACAGCATTTGTATTCATTTATTTGTTATGAAATTGCATATTCAGAGTAAAATCTGGTTTTTGTTATTCTCTGACTAGCAGAGGAAAAGAATAACAAAACCCTACAAGCAAATAAATACATAAATGATTGTTGGGATGTTGACTGATGGTGGATCTGGGGGGTATTGTGAACTCCTTGGCCAAATAAAAAAACATATTCAGTAGGCTGGGGCTAATGAGTCAAGTATAAGATTGTTTTCTTTGGGATCCTGAGCAGAATTTAAAAAAGTATAAGTCTTGTCAATTGTGACGGTAACCACAAAAAGAGAAACTGTTTAATTATTGTTGCAACTTACTTTGAAAGAATATATATTTGGCATTTACCTGTTGACATCTTGAAAAATGTAGTTTTGATAAGTTAAGACTAGGAAATTATTCAAGACTGAAATTTGTATTAGTATGCATGTATTGTTTACCTGATGTTTCTGTCTTCAAAGTTTGATGCATTTCCCATGTGAAAATTGTGGGGTTTGTGGGAATAGTGAAGGTGGAAATATTGCACTATTTTTTACAAAGCGAGAGGAAGCTGAAGATCTCAAACACTTAAGCCAAAACAAAAACCCACAAACAGTGTTTTTTCCCTGTCTTGTGTAAATATTTCTTTGTTCCCAGGTATAAGTATCCCTTGCCCTTTTTGGTACAAATGAGACTTATGTCTTCTCTCATCCAGAGTAAATCTATTGCTTCTCTTGATGACTCTACTGTCTTACTTGGTAGTTATAAATTTAAGATAGTTCGGATAGTATTTTAATTGTATTTACCACTTTGTTCAGTCATTTCCAAGTCAGGCAATACTTGCTAAAACTGATGAGATAAAACTTCTAAGTGGTTAATTTGCAGGGTAATTTAACTTATGCTTTTTGCTTTGTGAAATCTTTTAATTTAGCTGCTGATGTGTTCCTAATTTAGGATTTGAATAGTCTTCTAAGACTTGCACTTAAATTGATACTAAAAGTGGACCTTAGCCATCAAAGTGACTTAAAACGGCAGCTGTTGATTGCAGCAATACTGAAATATTTTTTAAAAATGGAGTCCTCTCCTCCTTAGTTGCCTTTCAAAAATGGCATGTAAACACTGCTCTTTTGTAAGAATTATACTTTGATGCAGAGAGCTATTTTTGTCTTGTACAACACTGAGCAAGTTAGCAACAAAATTATAAACCTTTAGTGTGTCTCTCAAGTCTGTAAAACTGGCTAAATAGAAAGTGTGCAGAAAATAGAAAGTATTGCCTCTTCAAAAGCGGTGGAAATTGTAGGGACAAGTAGAAATTGACATTCTGTTCATGTGTGTTCTACTTCAATGTGTAGATCAGCCTGGGTAAGTGTTGCTAGTGAAGCATGTAATGTTAACTTTATTCTGTCATTTTACGGAAAAAACTAGTTTTAGGCAGGATTTTTGCTAGTCTTTTAAGCAAAGACTTCAGTAATAGTGTATAAAAGAATCATGCTCCATTAAATTTGTAGAACTTATTTGAGCAGGTAAGTGCTTTATGGTTGGATTAATGAGTAACTTCTATTTCAATTAGTTGCTGTTCTCCTGCAGTGTAGTATTTGGGTTTATTTTTCCCTATAAAAACTCTTCTTGTTTTCACTCAGTCATTGAGCACCCCAAGATGCACATTTCCCGCAGTGAGCTGCAGTTACTCCTGACGGGGATAGTTTGTATTACAGAGTTTCATGCTGTACTATCCACTCTACAGAAAGGTAGGATGAAATTTTCACGTCTAGCTTTAACAGTTTTCTCAGTACTCATGGTTTTCTTCTTAGGCAGTGACAAGCATGGGAGTCAGTGCTCAACTAAAGAAGCTGCACTAGTTTCACCCTCTAAGATTTTGATCCAAAGAGCTTGTAGACCTACACACAAGATAGCATTAGAATAATTGCTCTAGTTTTCCTTCTTTGCTTTTGTTCCAATCCAAGTCTGTAACTGAGAGTTATCTTTTAATGAGTAATTCTGATGAAACTTTTGTCTGATTCATTGATGATTCAGAATGAATAACATTAATGTGATTTATAATTAAATAACATGAAATACTCTTAGATTTGCAGCAAGTTTATTAAGATCATGGTTTAGCATGTGACCCACGACCTGCAAGCAAAACATAATGAGTCCTCTCTTCCATTGTCTTACATCTTGAAATCCAGAGTATTCTTTTTTTGGAACAAGTAATGATTGCAATTGTTCCTGTTTCCTTCAGGAACTTTTGCAGCAAACTGGAATGGAAATCAGGTCTTGGCTGTTTGCATAACCATTTTGCTTCCATTTTAAAATTGCAGTAGTAAAAAAAAAGGAAATTTATCACTTGATTTCCAGTATCCTGCAAATCAGTTGTTTTCACTGTAAAAACTCTGGTTTGGTTGTCAAAACAGGTATGGTATCTAAATCATCATAACAAGTTGCTCACTTAAGTGGTCCAAAGTATAATATTCTGTAGAATGGTACTCACTGGCTTCAGCGTCCTGCCATGTGGATGGATGTGAGGTGTTTTACGTAGAAATCTCTCATCCGAACAGTGAACAACATTGAAGCAGTCTGTAAAGCGGTTGGGAATCGCGGGCTTGCAAATACCATGCTGCCTAAGATTTTAGAGTTTGTCAAAATATAGATAATATAAGTTTGGTATAATATTGATATAAATATTGACTTGGACCTTTTAAACTAATCTTGTATATGTCAGGAGAATAGACTTATTCAATGCTGAAAGAAAAAAAGGAAGTTTTAGTTTGTGAATCCAATGTTCTTAATTTTATTTATTTATTTTTGCCCATTTCCCTGGTACCAAATTCATTTTGGTAAAACCTAAATCCTATTTTTAAAAATTTTGTCTCTGTTTCCTCTTTCCCCTTTTCTCACTGTATCACTGAACATGGGAAGTAGGTGGGCACAGTGAGAATTAGGAAAGAATGAAAAAATCAGATAAACGATCTAGCTCATTTCTATATAAAGCCCTTTTCATGTAAAAGCTAGGGTAAGTAGCATTGTGTCAGCATTATTGTGACACTAATCACTTTCATCCACCATGCTAATCCCAAGGGTCATTGCAAACCCCTTTTTGTAGGTGTTGTAAGCTGCATTTTATAGTTTGGAGGATTCCACATTTTCCAGACAGCGTATACCACTATTGGTCCTCCATCCTTTGAATACAGCCACGTATCTGCCAAAACAGCAATCAGATATTCCAAGTTTATGGATGCCAAATTTTTCCCAATGTAACGCTTAACAGAATTTGTAGTAAAATGTCTGAGACGTGTTTGGCTTCAATGAGTTTTCATACAGCTTTAAAAAAAAAAAAATTTGTGGCAACTGTTGGGTTTGGGAAATGCAATACAAAGAATTCCTCTGTTACAACGTGCTGCTTGGCATAATTGGTTGCTTTGCTTCTATCTTTCTTAAAATCCTACCAAATTGGTAGGTATTACTACAGATACTTTTTTCTACAAATATTTGTTTGTAAAGGAGTGTATTATCAGCTTCATTTAGCCATAGTAGATAGTAATAATAGTGAGTTAAGAAGAAATAAAGGTGCTGCAGTAATAGATTTTGTGGAGAAATTCAGCCACTGTTGTTACTCATCAAGGTCTGTATGTTGTGTATTTTGACTCTGTCCAAAATAATTTAAGTACAAATGTTGGGTGTAAAGAGATTTCTGAAGGCAATAGTGAAACAGTGATTTAGTTGCTAAATAATTCCAAAACTTGCTTGAAAGAGAATGTTGACATTCTAAAAAGTTCAAGTAAGCATGGACCTAACAGGAATATTGAAATATATATATACATACATGTACACACATTTACTCATGGAAGGCAAAATTCAATATTTGTGATACAATTGGATCAAAAAGTGCTCATGTGGAGAACTTCTGCAAAATAAAGTACATTGCCTTTTTCTTACCTCAGTTTAGCCTTAGCCTGGACAATTTGTATTAGATGTGGTTCCTTTCATGATAGGGAGACTGCACTGACCTCTGTGCCAGGCCAAGCCTTCCAATACTGTTACCAAAAAAGTAGAAAAAACTTAAATCCAGACTGAACCCTTCCTTCTTTTCCCCCTTTTACTCCTCAGATGCTAAGTGTGGGCAGAAAGTTCAAGAGACAACACCATGGAATTATCTTAACCTTTTTACTCGGATTGTTGGGGGAAACCAGGTGAAACAAGGCTCACATCCATGGCAGGTTAGCACAAGCAAATGTGGTTTTATCTTCAGAACAAAGTCCTGACTTTCCATAGAAATGACAAAATAAGAAAACACATATACTTAGTGCTTACTGACACGGTGTATTGTTAAGCTCCACCCTGCTTTTATGAAAAGCAGTGAAGCAGGCAGAGAGGATACAGAACCTGTCCTGCTCCCTGATAAACCTATGCTAATAACTTTTTAGTTTATTTATCGTTAACCTCCAGATGCTCTTCCAGAAATATTCTATTGTAAAGAGGCATGGGTGAGACTGCTTAAAAATAGGGCACCGAAGGGCACCACCCCCAGCCCCCAACTGTTGCCAGGCATCATGGATTTGCAGTGCTCCCAGTGACCTGCAAAGGAAAAAATCTCAACTAACTACCAGCCTTTACAGCGTGCCGAGTACCTCAGTGGCTTGGCATCCATTACATGTATGTTGCTTTTATCCAGCTACCAAATCCCAGCTGAGGAGAGAATGCCAAGGTGTAGGATCTCTTAGAGTCAAGGACTGTAAGAAGGCTATGAAGATGTGTTTTCTTGAAATGCAGTATGTGCTTTAGCTATGTGACTCATCAGAATACCTGCATGTACTCTCTCCTTTCTTCCTCAAATGCAGTCAGAGAAAATAGAAAGATTTTCTTATTTGGCACGCCTTCTTTATATGACACAGGTTTCCTTGAAACGAAGGCAAAAGCATTTCTGCGGCGGCACCATTGTTTCTGCTCAGTGGGTAGTCACAGCAGCTCACTGCATCTTGGACAGGTATGGATGTGATATTTCAGAAGCACGTTGCAGGTGCAGAAAAACATTGATTGTAAAAGTGTGTGTGCTGTAGTATCTTTTTGTGGCTATTACTTACAGATGCTATCTTTTTTTTCTTAACTGATATTTTACATGTTTTAACAAAGGGAGAAAAATCCAAAACGTTTGAACATCTCAAAAATAATTAAGAATAAAATAAATTTACAGGGATTGGTGGAGACTGATTTTTTTTTTTTTGCAAGCATAGGTAGAAATTGTACCTAATTTTAATTATCAAACGACTGCAATTTATTTTTTTAGCAGTAACGGGCAAGGTATATGCAATTACATGGTGAATGGATACCGTACTGACCTCTTGCACAGTGATAATTTTCAGTCTTAGTGCTAAAAAAAAAAAAAAGTCTGCAAGCATTGTATGAAAGGTTTCAGTTCTGATTCTGTAGTCACTTCACTGAGGTTCTGATTCCCTTATGGTTATTTGAGTCTTCGTACTAAAGGATCACCTGAAATTATACATTTTATCTGTATCTGGCATTGTCTGTGATCACATCTTGGTCAAATTAGCCAATAACTGCAGAGGTTGTTAACTACAGAAGGACAGGCAATATTTAAATCAGCATAAAACTTTCTGACACAAAAGTAATTCTTCAAGTCTGGTGAATAAATCTGAAGCAGAATAAAAAAAATTATAATGCTTTCTTTTGTGTTTCCTTACTGCACATCATATCCGATTACTAGGAGCCCTAAAGCAGGATTCACTGTGTTTTTAAGATATAAACTTGCGGGTACTAGAGAAGTGGTCCTATTTTTTCTGTACTTGCCCATGTCCAAATCTTCCCTCCTCCTTCAAAAAGCAGTGCGACTGAACATTTTTAAACACAGTAAGAGGACCTGGTTCCTTTGAGGACCAGCAAACTACAGTCAGGAGCGTAGCTAAATGATTTTTCTTCTCAGTCCTTTTCATCTCCTGATTTCTACTGTAGGACATACTCAACTCTTGCTGACTGTACCTATTATGTGCTTTAAAATCTGAAGATGAAAGGTATTAGGTATCAGAAGTAATAACTTCTCTGTTTAAAAACAACTTTATTTTTTCCTTTCACTTTGAAGATATTCTGTTGCTGAACTTTTATTTTTCTATTCTACAGGAACCTACTCCAGTACTTGAATGTCACTGCAGGAGAGCATGATTTAAGGATCAGGGAGAATGATGAGCAGACGCTCCCTGTTAAATATGTCATTAAGCATCCAGACTTTGACCCCAGAAGGCCGATGAACTATGACATTGCCCTTCTGAAGCTGGATGGAGCCTTCAACTTCAGTAAGACCATGGCTATGTGATCTTTTTCAGTGGTGAAAGTAAGGCCTTTGCTCCTCCCAGATGCTGTGAAAAGTCTTGAAACTTAGTTTAAACCCATTTCACAGTTGTCAGATTATACCACTAAAAATCTCCAAAGTGTTTTGCAACTGAAGTATTTAAAATACCCGAGGTAAGTCAGGAAAATGTATCAGTTGAATTAAATGGTCTTCTTCAGACTTAATACTCCCTTGAAGAAAAAGGTATAGTTCTTTGTATGCAGGAGATGAAAATTTGCCCAAATAGGTGTTTTTATTATTTCATCTGTGTAGGTAGAGATTTCTGCCTCTGGTGAACAGTAAAACTAGCCCAAGGCAGGCCAGAGCTCCGAGCATAACTCAGTCCTTTCTGTACCTTACTCACACCCTCTCTGCTATTTGCCCTCTTTTCCTTTCCTGCAGAAAGGAGTGTGGGCTTGTCTTTAGTAGTGGCAGAATGGCCCGTATCGGCTCTGGAAGGGGAAGGAGAGGGGAGGACTGCTGTTAACACCCTGTTTCCTGGCCTGTTGCCCAGCCATTGCTCAGCTGTATGCTAACTTTGCCTTACGGTCAGGTTTTCTGAAAGGCTATTTTACATCATTTTTATATAATATTGAAGTTTATACACTTTGCACTTCCAAAGGCTCCAGCTCATGTCACTATGTTGCTCTTTCTGTGCCACCACAAAGGTGAGTGACTACGTTTTCTAATGGAAGTTTGGATCATGATAGCAGCTAAGTTTAAAAGGAATGGCAAGACCTGGGCTGAAGCTTGTGCTCCTGGCTTTCTTTTTTCATTCTGAAATACTATGAAATGGAGGCACAGATAAATTGTCAAATGCCAGATCAGTTTTTCAGATGTCATAAAAATAACAATACCTTTTAGTTTAAAAAAAAAAAAAAAACTAAGAAAGGAAGCTTTTTATCGTTGTTCTTTTGAATACTCGTCATTAAAATTCATCTCTGTGTTTGGCAGGCTCATCGGTTTTGCCAGCATGTCTTCCTAATCCAGGTGAAAAGTTTGAGGCAGGATATATCTGCACTGCTTGTGGTTGGGGCCGTTTAAATGAGAGTAAGCCACGCAAATTGTTCCTTGGCATTCAGGTTTCTCAGTGTCTTATCTCTGAAATGAAGAGCTTGATTGCACAGGTCATAGACCAGAAAAAACCATCAACTTGTCATAAAGACTGTAATTTCAAAATGGGATCTTTGATAGTTTCTATGCTTACCTGTGAATTATATCAAAACAGGTAGCTACAGTATATAGACCTGTATTTCAATTTTGAAAAAATTTGAAGTTTATTCAAGTAAAACTATTTATGTACACAAAACTGGATATTTATGTAACCATAAAATGTCTTGAAGTAACTTTGCAACTTTTTTTTTATGTGTGTGTGTGAATTAGCAGTGACATTAAGTTCACCTTTTAGCATTTCTTATGGGCAATTTTTTTTTTTTTTGTATTTCAGATGGAGTACTCTCTCAGGTTTTATATGAAGTCAATCTACCAATCTTAAACAGTAAGGAGTGTTCAAGAGCTTTATCAACTTTAAAGAAACCCATCCAAGGTGACACTATAATGTGTGCTGGATTTCCAGATGGGGGAAAAGATGCCTGCCAGGTCAGCTGAACAGAGGGCCTTCTGTGCTTACAAGTGTTTCTCAGCAGCTCAATGCATTATGTGCCTAAATGAATAAATACACTATAAAATGTGATATTTAGAGTGTATGAATTTTGATGTGTGAATTCTTTCAAAGGTTCTGTATGGGACAATGCACTTCATTACGCAATTCCATTTTGATTATTGTATGAGTTGTATGACAGGTTCCTGCAAGAAATTTTGTAATGTATTCCAGTGCCATAATGCTTAGGGCTTTCAAACCTCAGAACACTTGATAAATTCGTTAATGTTGCTAAGATCCTAAGGAGGAAAGTAGAAAGTGTTGCCTTGGATTACAGGAAGGAAAGGAAATGAGATAATGGTTAAATCATTGTTCCTTGTTATGGGGGTAAAAAACCCCAAACTTTTACTCATTTTTACATGTGAAAACACAGTAGATGTGCACCCATGAGAGAACTGGTCTCTCTCTCTCTCTCTCCCCCTCTTGACAATCCTGACTAATCACACTGAAAAAGAAAGTGTCTTCACAGTTTTTTAAATTGCTGTTCCGTATATTACAGTTTTGTTAGTATGGCACAAAAGAGAACTCAATAAACTCTTTAAGGCTTGCTCAGTGGTATGTTATGCACTTTTGTAAGCTATGAGTTGTGGGCTTTTACTTGTTTTTTACAGGGAGACTCGGGAGGCCCTCTTTTGTGCCGACGTAAGCATGGTGCCTGGACTCTTGCTGGTGTGATCTCCTGGGGGATGGGTTGTGCTCGTGGCTGGATAAGTAATGAGAAGAAGAAACATTATAACAGAGGATCTCCGGGAATATTCACAGACCTCAGTGCGGTGCTTCCCTGGATTCAGGAGAACATGAGTGCTGGTATTAAGTCTCCACAGTAATATGTCCCTCACTTTTGACAACTCTTCTGTCTCATGATAATATCTCATTTAATTTCATCTTTTTCAAGATATAGCACTTATTTCCCCATTTTTCCTGGCAAAGCACTATAGCATTTCACAATGCCTTTAAGTGTGTGGTGTTGATTGGCAGTTGCCAAAACCAAATTGAGAGCATTGTAAATCTTTGCTTCTTTTCCACTTTGCCTCTACTTGGACCATATATGTGTGTGTGTGTATCTTTTTTTTTTTTTTTTCCCCCACACACTTTAAGAATGGTCCTTTCATTCAGCTCACCAGTTAGCCTGGTATTTTTGTTTTTAAGTGGAAATTCACCAGTTAAAACTGTCTGAAATTCCATGCACACCTCTTTGAAGTCGCTTGTCATTTTTCTCAGCTAAAACATGTTGGATCAGACAATGACTACATAGGGAGAAGTTGTGCTCTCAGAAATGCTTTTGCTTACTCTGCTCAAAAGGCTATGTAGACCCTTAGTGCAGGGGAGCAGCATGAAAATTATCCATCGCTTCCAAAGTCATGGAGCTGGAGATATAAATGACAGTCTGTCCAGGGGTGAACTTCACTCAGAGCTGAATTAAGAAACTGAATTAATGTTCTCTTCCAGTTTGGGCAATTTTCTTTAAAAGGTGTTAGAGAATGTGTTGAAATTTACACAGAGAAATATAAAACTGAGGGGTGTTTAAGAGGTTTTGCTAGTCGATGATAAGAAATAAAATTGCAAGGGCAAAAAAAATAAAACTTTCCCACTGGAAACCAGCTTCAGCTGGTTATTGAAAAATGAAACCCTCAAAGTCAGAGAAAAATAAAAAGAGTTTAGCTTCTGAAAAATATTTTGGTTTTCAATTAAAAAAAAAAACAAAAACTGACAGACAGCATCTTTTTATTAAAAATTTATGAGCTGGCTCACTTTACCAGGAAAAAATTATATGATTAGCTGTTGTGGTAATTAAAATATGTTGGCTCCAGTGAACAAAAAAAATTATTTGACAGGTAAAGTGAAAACACAGTTCTCAATTGCATTGTGTTAGTTTTTGCTTGCTTGCTTGTTCTTTTATAATGTCCCACTGGTGCAAAAGATCTTAACTGTAATTGCTGTCAGGCTGAATGTCTCTGTGTCACTGATGTGATATTAGCAGTTGGATTCTGCTGCCCTTACCTGAAATGTTATAGCATTTACTCAACAATTACATAGAAACAGAGTACTGTGCTACTCAGACTGAATGGTGGCCTATCAATGGATGATTAATTGTAAAGTGACTACTCCAGAATTGTTTATTCCAAAGTCAGTGTTGCCTGAACTTGCAATTTTGTTTTAATTCTAAGCCTAGTGTATTGTAGACATTACGTCCCCAAGAACCATTTGAATTTACCTTGGTGCTAGATGTGTAAAATTACATGGAAAAAAGTAAAGCCTACATTGTGAATATTATAGTAATTTATTCTTCTTCCACTCCCTTCTCTATCCCTCCTTTATTAGATGTGAAAATGAAAAGCTCCACAGGTGAGTACAGTATTTTTTCAGTACTGTCTATCTGTGTTAGAGCATAAAAAGACCTCCAAAATAGTCTGATGTATAATCTAGGAAGGAAGAAACAAGAAGAAGCTTGATTAATCAAAACACTTTTAAATTTATAGTTTAAATATATACCTTTTTCCTCTTGTTCTGTTAAAAAAAAAAAAAAAACAAAACAAAAAACAAACAAACAAAAAAAACAACTTACCTAGGGTTGTACCTGTGGTGATTTCAAAAAGGAATTTTCCTTAAGACAGCTACATATATAAAGCCATATTTTTATTGAAGGAGAAATATAGAACAGAATCTCAAGCAATGCACGAAATCTAGTTAGTGAAGTTGATTCTGTATAAAAGTATAGCTTCTAAATTGAAAGTAAGAGATAAATTAGTAGTACTTCTGTGCAGTCTATGATGAATCTATCTACTTGTCTGGTGTCTATTTCTATGAATAAATTGCAAAAATACCAAAACATGAACCTAACCCCAAATGTAACATGTTTTAAAACTGAAGTTTCACTTTGATGCTACCATGTTTATGTTCTTGTTGGACACTGTTCATGTAGGTACAAATTCACATAAAGATACTAGAAACAACTTTTGTGAACTAGATCTTAAAATTTTAATGTTAGTAATGTAGAGTGAGATTCTTCAGATGATAAACAAGCTTGGGCACACAGTCAATTTGTATAGACTTGCTGTGGCCAGTGAGAATTTGTGTCTCTGAAATTTTTTATTGGTCTTCCTAGAATGCTTCAGGTAACATCTTATAAGTACACGGCTCCTTAAATTTGTTTTTGTATACATAGTTGTTGATAAATGTCATACTGGCCTATCTTGCAAGGAGAAGGAAAGACAGGAGGAGATAATTTTTGTAAGCAATTGTGTTTTTGGAGACATTTATCCACAGGCAAAAGATTCTGTTTCTTCTATTCAGGTGTCTTTAATACCATATGGTACTGTTGCAAAAATCTCCTGCTGTAACATAGCTAAGGACGTTATTGCAAATGGGCTGCAATGACCACTTTTCTTATGTCCTGAAGTAGGCATTTTTCCTTCCTGAAAATTATTTATACTGAAATCCTCATTTAACAAGTAATTTCTTTAAGGTAAAAAGCAAGCATTGCCAATTTTACAATAAAATATGATAGTATGTTGGCAGTGCTTCATTTTTGCTCTCAAATTATGTGTTTTAAAACTGACTTACCGTAATTCCAAATAAAGCAGAGGAAGACCCAGCATCAATCTGCCAGCAGAAAAAAGCTGAGCGATCTTGAGTTTCACAGTATTCTCTAGATGTTTGAGCTTTTTGGTGGAACAGGTGATTGTATATTTGTCAAACTTGATTCTTTCTGTTTTGTTTTAACTCTACAATGCAGCATTTTGTAGCATTCAGGATGGCAAACTCCCTGACAGTGAAGGAGAATTAAATTTTCCTGGAAGTTCCAAACAGTTCTATCAAAACCACCAGTAAGTAGACACACAAAGTCTTTCCCCAGAAACTATTCCCCATACTGGTGTAGTTGTTTTTTTGCTTCAGTTTTGTGAATGAGAACTAATTTGTTGTTCCAGATTGTGCGTGTGGACTCTCTTTGTACCAGAAGAGAATTATATATTGCTTAATTTTTCCCACTTTGATATAGAGCCAGAAACATTCTGTGACTATGATTCTTTATCAGTCTATTCAAAAGACAACAGACTTGTTGGTGAGTTGCCGTCCCCTTATTCTTTGGAATAATATGAGAGTGTACTCCTTCATTCTAACAGCAGGTACACCTAATGAGGACACTGCAGTTGATTATGTTGTACTTACGTTTTCATGATGAATACATTGTGACAGATGATCTAAAATAAAAGATTAACTGTGAGAAAAGAATGGAAAATGCCTGGTAGGGAACAGTGTCAGCATATGACTTTCTGGTGTCAAGGATTTTCTGGTTTTAATAGTGTTCATCTATTTGGGCTAATGGATTAATAGGGAATGTAGAGGAATGAATAGATAATTTCCTTTTCATCCTAAAATTATTACAGTTAAGTACTAAAAATGGTACATATGAGATTTCTCAAGTGACTAAAGACTTTAAACAGTGATTGTTCTCTAAAATTATATTTCAGGGAAGTTCTGTGGAGGAGATATTGCATTACCAATTTTGATTGGCTCCAATAGTGTAAGGCTGAAATTTGTTTCTGACAACAAGGATTATGGAACTGGTTTTTCCATGACCTACAAAGCTGTTACATCAGATATTCTTCCTGGTAAGTCTAAGTCTAGTAATATACCTGTCTGCATTTTTCGGTGGTGACCTGAAAAAAATTTTCAGGAGAAAATAAAAAATGAGAGGAAGCTCCTATGATATTTCTATGTGGATGATGTTACGAACAAGGTAAGTGTGATTAGACTGCTATGTGGCATTGTAGAGAAACTGGGATGCCAGAAAGAGGTAGGATAGATGCTGTTGAGAGAAGCCCTCTTTTAACTTTTCCTCTTCTCCATCCACTTTATAGAAGATCTCATTTCCTTCTGTATTTCCAGATTGTTTTAAAGTTTAATTAATAACATTAGTCAAATGAGCAGAATTTCCAGATGAAAGCTGCTTTGCTAGTCCCAAGCATGCTTTCATGGAGTGGCCCTGAGGGAAACAGCTAGTGCTGAGATATGTCATGGAGAATTGCTTTCAGTTTTGCTGGGCAGAGCAGTTCACCATCACTAGGGAGCGGGCCCAAGGGCCATCTGCTGAATCTGGACAATCTGGTTAGACAGACACCTGCTGTTCCTGTTTCTGCTGCTTTTCCAGCTAATTTCTCTCCTTTGAAGAGTGTAGAGAGGAAACCGCTCTGAGGGGCGTTGCTATGGCATAGCCCATCATGAAGGTATGTCCTCTGATTGTGTTTTATGTCTCCATTTTTCTGCTCCAAAGAAAGTTGTCAAATGTTCTTCTGACATGCCTGTGTCTTGCTCTATCACCACACACAGGTACCTGTGCCTGTAGCCAAAGGGGAATGCTATGGTTATGGGTTGAATTGCTCTTCTGCCTGGAAGTAGATTAAAAATTTCCTTTGCATATTTTTCAGACAGAAGGATTTGGCTTTCTGCTCCTGACCTGTTCTCTCTCTTAGCTGTGTGAAAGCACTGCAAGAGTTTTTCTGGATTTTTTTTTTTTTTTGTTAAATGATTTAATAGGAAATCACAGTGTTCCATTTTTGTTTTCCTGGATTGCCAGATTCTGGCTGTGAGTCCTTATCTGTCCTTTTTGAAGAAGGGGTGTTACAAAGTATGCACTACCCAGAGCACTACAGCAACATGGCAGACTGTCAGTGGATTATCTGTGCACCAGAGGACCATGTAATCAAGGTATAATATGAGCCCTTCTTGTGTCTATAGAATGGAAGTGGGCACCACTGAGTTAACAAGAAATAATGCAGCGAAGGACAAGCAAGATCAAGCAACATAAGCTTGTATAATGCTGCTGGATGCAGCTGAGAAATCATTTTCCATCCCAAAAGCCAGATAGATTTCAATTTCTCCTTTGGGTTATGGTAAAATAGGATCTCCTGGCTTAAATTTTATTGTGACAGATTCTTCTAGCAAATGTAATATGCTATGTATCACCTAGGAGAAGTTTGAATGACACAGAAACCAAAGGCCAAAGGAATAATTGAGAATATTAAAGACCCTACAATAGATCTTTGAATTATTTGTGTGAATTTAACAAGGTTTGCTTTTTTCATTTTTTATTTAAAGCTTACTTACCAATCTTTTGAAGTAGAAGAGAGTGAAGATTGCTCTTATGATGCCGTGACTGTGTATGAAGATGTGGGAAAAGAGGAGGAAATTGGTTTGACTTCTGAATTTTGATGTACTTTAGGGGATGACCTATTTCTTTTACGACTTTCACTAGCCCTGTTTTACAGTCTAAAAATCAAGTTTACCTATAGAGTCTCAGGTGATGTTATAGGTACTAGTTTCAGTGCCTTGAGAAATACTTTTAGGTATTGCTGCTTCTGTTCCACTTAGAGGCAAAATCACATTGAACAGAACAGTTTTGTGTCTTTAAATTCTATATGAAATAGAATTCTGAATTCATGTAAATGAAGAAAAGGGCATAACACAGTAATTTGTTTTTAATGGTAATGATCAGACACAGAAAACACCCAAGAGGTCTCCTTTTCAGAGTCCAGTTTCATTTTCTTCACTGAAGATTCATGTAGTTCTTGCCACCTTGCTAGATATTCCCCTGGCTTACACTGAATGTGAGGAAGACCTGTCCCAGTCAACTACTTTCAGCACTTGCTTGATGTTGGTGCTTAGATTAGCACTAGCACATGCTAGTGCTGAAACACCAGCAAGGGGAAATCAGGTTTCCAGTGTGTTCTGTATGTAATGGCAACCTCTGAGCATGAGTGCTGCAACAGACTCTTGTGAAATAATGCAAGAGTCTCCTTGTTCTTATGAGATAATTACTGAACAGGGACAGACTGTCAGGAATAATAGAACAGTCCTGCTGGCTTAGGCTGCTTATCTCTACTCCTCTCTTGTTTATAGTTATTTTCTACCCTCCTGTGTGAGAGCTGGGATACACAGAATATTGGGTACCCACTATGGGAGGAGATAAGGATGAAAAAGTACATGTTAATCTGCAGTGAACCTTTGCTCTCTCATCTTTAGCAAAGTCTTGTGGATTTGCCCTACCAGCACCTGTTTTAAGCTCCTCTGCTATGATGCTGATTGTTTTTCACTCTGATGAAACAGAGACCTTTGGAGGATTCAGAGCTACAATCTCTTTTGTTCATGTAACAGGTAATAGAAGTAACTTGGGAAACTGCCTCTTTGGGGCAGCACAAAGGGCTCTTCAGTGAATCTGGCTGTTCAGAATTATTTTGCTCTACAAGATTCTCATCTAATAAATTGTTTCAGTGAAAAAACTGTATTGTGAATCTATTGAGGCATTAAACAAAGGACCTATTGAGTGGGTGAAGAGAAACAATGATTCTACCAAAACCTCAGAGTTTTATTTTGTGTAAGAGTATTTTAGTACATTTTAAATGGCACTTTTCTTCCATGTGAAGATGTAATAGCACAGGTCACTACTGTAAAAATCTGTTCCTTCTACAAAAATAATAAAGGAAATAAAAGTGATTTTTGTAATAAAAATATCACTCAAGACTGCCTGCTAATACATTTGCTATTTTAATTCACTAGATTTAGATACTTTGGATTCAACTAGTGAAGAAGAATTTGAAGATATGGATATGACTGAAGAAGAATTACAGGTTACAGCAGGTTAGCCAAGCAGAGTTTTATTTTCTTTATGGGAATAAGGAGTACCTTTTGGACTATAATTTAAATGGTGTTTTCTTCAAATATTTAATAGATGTAGCTGTCCTAGAATTTCTCATTAAGGTTATTTTGAGGAAATAAAACAACAAATAATAACACTTCTGTGCTTTGGCTTTAGAATAACAGAACCTAATTCTTCTTGCTTCCTTCATCTTGTTAAGTCATTTATAGCAGTGCAATGATGTTATTTCAGCTTGTATGTCAGTTTACACCTATTTGCTTTGGTAAAAATAATTGCAAAGAGTACAGGGTATTTGAAAATAATAACCAGCATTTTAGAACCTCCCTTTTTCCCTTCAGTACTTTATGGAGATTGAGATGAATCCATATTAATTGTAGGTTTGAGGCTAAAACTTTTGAAGGTAAGCAGTTGCTTTCATCTTGGTGAAGCTCTGTTTTAGCTAAGACCATCTCCTTATGCTACCTCTAAACATTTGGATTCTTTGTTATGAGGGAAGTTGAAGGATTTAGCAAAAAAGGGGAGAGGGGAAGGTGAGAAGCTGTGGAGTAGCTCTTAAATGGACTGTTCTTTGCTTCTCTAAATCTTAACCTCTGAAGACTTCTTGAGACATCAGTGTCTTCTGTTTCAGATGGTATTTGTGGAATGCCTTCAAATCAGCCCAGGTTCATCTTCAGTAGGATAATTGGAGGTGAAGAAGCTGTACCATACTCATGGCCTTGGCAGGTCAGTGTACAAATTTCAGATGAGCATATCTGTGGAGGAGCAGTTCTTGCCAAAGAATGGGTTGTCACAGCTGCTCACTGCTTTAATTCTAAGTAAGTACACTGGGATGGACACTTCCCTGGGAATGTCTGTAACTGCACAGTGCACCTCTGCAGTGTGGTGGTTCTGCTTGGGGTGGCCGGCATAGTTTTGGTTACCACATACTTAGAGTTCACGCTGGCACTGGATTATTTTGCTCCACACACATGTACTACGATCATAGTGGCTACTAAGGAAGTAGCCTGCCTCTGTAGGCTTGGTTTTCGTTCAGATCAGTTTTCAGAGGAGATGACAAGATATTAAGTCCCTTGTCATCCAACACTTTTAGGTACCTGACTTCTTTGTGTTTGGGTTGTTTACAGAGCATGTTTTCATCCAGGTAGAATTAACCTATCAAAAACTTTTTAAATTACTGAATTTGTGCAGGTTTTGAAGGACATGCATAGAAGGCTTTTGTGCACAGGGTTGTTGCAATTCCTTTATTAAGAACCGATCAGTCTGTTAGTCAGATTACCTGGCAATTTTTCTGTCTGTAATTAGAGGAGACAAAAGGATAGTCGGAGCAACTCTTGGGCTCTTCAAAATACTTTCTAAACCGCAGTTTGTTTATTCATCTCTTAGGCTGAACACTACCTGTTTTGAAGTTCAAATTAATCACAATTTAAAATTCACATACTTTGAATCATTAAAATATTTTTTTTAAAATCCTCCGAGGATTGATGATAATTAGGTATTCTGGCCTGTTTTCAAATAAAGTTGCAATTACTTGAAAATGAGGGTAAGCTTTCAAAAGCCCTGAATGCCAAAGATGGTTAGTCATCTATATTCTTCATTTCTTTGATTCTCTTCCTCTCTTCCCCCTCCCCTCAAAACTGGGGATCTGAAATGCAAGTGCTGTTTTGAATTTTGTTCTTTGTCTTCTAAGTTTCTAAATAACAGATTGCAAAACTTTGTGTCTTGAGCGTTGTTGCACTGTGGTGAAGGTACTGCTTTAAGAGCTGTATTAAGGAGGAATTCTCTATTGCACGTTGCTATCACATCAGAATTTGCATTCGTGTCTTAACGATTCTAAACAGCTAATTTCATCAGGGAGTTATGACAGGTTTTCAGGCAGTAAGAGGGTTTAGTTAAGAAACCAAAGGGTGAAATTAAATGTTTCTGTTGCATTTCTTTATAACATTTGATAGATGGTAATGTTTTAGAGGTCACACATTTTTTCATTAAGAAGGTAAAAACCAGCACTGTCCCTGGATGACGTGGACCATGCAGGCCTCGTGTTCTGCATTAGGCACCCCCAGTCCTTATAGAAATGACCTTTCTCACCGTTGTGTGTTTGAGAGATCCTACTGCTTCATCATGAGAATATTTTATGCTCCCTAGAAGTCAGTGAAATCATAGATTTGTATGGGAGTATGGGCCTCAGGAGTTTGTTGGCCCAGGAGTATGTAGGGCCCTACTATATATTTTGGTGGGGGAGATTTTAAAATTCACAGGTTTCACAAATGTTGTTATACCAGCCTGAGAATGTACTACTTTTTTTTTTTTTTTAGGCAACAATACAGAGACTTATGGACGGTGGTAACAGGACTTCATGATCTTGCAGACCAAGAATACAGACAGGTACTGTAAGTTCTGTTTAATAATAAAATAGAAATCAATCTTGCAAAATAGTTTTTAAGGTAAATCCATCTCCCAAATTGTTCATGATGCAGCAATCTAACAGCCTGCGTGCTGACCTTAATCTGCATTTACACAACAGCTTTTGCATGACTGTCAGAGAAATTGTATCAACACAGATCTGTGCCTTCATCAGTAATGAACTCCAAAGCTCAGTATCCTGGAGGGTGTGTGGGTGAGGAGTGTATTGTCTCTAAATTCCATGGTGACTGTTACCAAGACAGAAATAATTGGAGCACAACTTTGCTCAGACTGGACAAATGTTTTTCCAACACCTTCTTCCTGCACTTGCTGGATGGAGCTTCCTGCGTGTTCCCTGAGGCATGTCCAAGGGACATAATCTCGACTTGCTAACATAAGAAAGCTGGTAGCTTCAGCAGCTGCTTTTAAATGTGTCCTCCTCTTAAGGCATCTTGCATATGGCCTGAATATGTGTAAACACAAAGTTACTTAAAGACTCAAATTCCCAAGTCATTCAGAAAATGTCAATGTCCTTGCTTTCCTAGAAAAGGTCAGTAAAGCAGTATATTATACATCCAAGTTTTAACAAGACCACTATGGACTCTGATATCGCCCTACTGCAACTGGCCGAGCCCTTCGAATTCAACCGCTACGTGCGCCCAGTGTGCCTCCCTGCCAAGGAGGCGGTGGTGGTTCAGCCCTCGAGGGTGTGCGTTGTCACTGGATGGGGTGCACATGAAGAAGGTATGCACTCTTTGCTATTTTGAAGGTTGAGCGTGCTGTAGCTGTGTCTTAAATACTGTGTACCATGTTGTAACGTTCAGCCTGTCTATACATTAATTTCTGGAGAGCAGATGGGTTTAAAAGGTTTCACTTGTGTAAGCTCAGCTAGACATGCAGGGAAATGGGTGGGAGGAAAGAAATCAGATAATTTAGGTTGAGACCATTTGAAAAGGGGAAGAGTAAAGTTTCTTTGTGGCTACTAATTCATGCCTCTACTGGTTTCTGAGATGTCTTTTACTTCAAGACAGAGAAAAGGGGAAAAAACTGCATCAGCTGGAAGTCCCCATCCTGGTGCTTGACACATGTCAGAACTATTACATAAACATTCCCAATCAAGTGACCCAGAGGATGATCTGTGCTGGATTCCCTCTGGAACAAGGCAAGGACTCATGCACAGTAAGTTGCACACATCACCTTTGCCTTCTGACACTTGGGGTATGGCCAGATGGGTTCTGAAAAGGGGAGTGTTAAAACCTCCCTAAGAGCTGTTTTCATGCAGACAGGCTGTAGGTGATATACAGTGAAAGACTCCTTAATAGTAGATCTTCAATTACTCATATTGCAAAAAGAAGTACTTCCCCTGAACAATGGTTATTTCTTTCTCTGCCTTTTAAAAACAGAACCCCCCAAACACAGCAGCAGCTGGAACCTCTTGTAGCTGAACTGATATTTTAAAAAACATAAGGAATGATGTCAGCTCATAACAAGATTTCTTTGTTCTTGTGCAGGGTGATTCTGGTGGCCCATTAGTTTGCCCTTCAGAAGATAACTCGGGGTTTTACACCCTTCATGGAATCACTAGCTGGGGCTTAGGATGTGGGAGGAAGAGCTACCCAGGAGTATACACAAACGTTGGTGTTTTTGTTGACTGGATCAAGCAGAGCGTTAACAGTAGTGGTATGTATGAACAAAACACAATTACATTAATCCTTTTGCTATTGCTAGATGATTAATTTGAGAGGTCTTTTCCTGGGTCCTATTTTTCTATTTTTCGTGAAATCTTGCCTGTTTAAAATACCCCTAGCTGGATGCACAGAAACAGACAAATCTAGATCAGTAGTCACTTCTGAAAATCTTATTTCTTCTGAATGTATTATTATTCCCGTCTGTCTTGCATTTTGCCAGTTAATGAATGTTTTCCTTACTGCTGCTTTGCTACTTTGTTTCTCAGAGCTGGGAGGAGGTAGGGTGGCATGAACACCATGACATCTGAGTGCACTTCAACAAGTTTACAGTCTGCCTTTGCTGATGATCTTTGCAAAGTTTACCCTGTTTTATTTTTCTCCTTTTTGTAGATCTTCCCATGGTGTGACCGTCAAAAGAGCAATTCTGATGGACCACATTGTAAAACATTTCCAAAGCACAAATGTCATTGAAAGCAAAATTTGGTTAGAGTGTATTAGTTCATGATTGATGAACAGATTCCGAAGGAGGGGATACTTACCCTGGTGAACTTACGGCCAATTTGCCTGAATTGAATTTGGATTTACATGTGTGTGCTTGGGGCAGACGGAAGTTACTTTCAGGCTTCTCACACTCTGTTAACCTATTTTACAAGGAAAGAGAGGGAAAATAAGGCACAATATGCCAAGCATGTCCTTGAATGTAGTACTGGAGAGCATAAAAATACTACAGAAATGAGGTTAAGTGTACAACAGCTGAAGGGGCTGCCAGTCATCCTTCCTTTCAGGCCAGTGAGGGTGTTACCCCTGGCTCTGAGGGGACCTGGGCAGTGGTAGTAGTAGTGCATTACTGAGGAGCAGAAGAACATTGTCTAGTCATTAGTGATGTGCATCAGTCCAATTGCTGGGAAAAGGATATTTTTAATACAGTTCCTGTTTTAACAAATTCAGTGTTGTTTAAACACACAGAAGTGTTTGAAAGACGGGTGTTACTGGTCAAGGGCCTTTGGCACCATGCAAGAACTGACAGCTATCCTAATTAATCTATACATGTAAATAAAGAGCTACTGTGTAATCCACACACTGCAAACTGAGCACATTTACTTGTAAATAGTAGTTTGTTTAATGCCCAAATGGTTGCTTACACAAGAAATTGTGATGACAGGCTCCAGTTAACTTTACAGACCGTTCTGTGTGCAGTCTTAGTGTTTAGAAACTACATCAGCATGGTAGTACAACAGGTAACGCAACTACAGTCCTTCTTTGACTTGATGTTCTGGAAAATAACTAGAAAATATGTAAGAGGTCTCATTTTGTTTCTTTTGATATTAATGGCAAAAATCTTTAGAGGTGTATTTCTCATACATGCATTTGATGACAGTAACCCTACTTTTTTGATTACATTCGTTTAGAAGTTCTGATTTTTTTTAAATATATAATTTTATTCTTTATCTGGGGAGAAAAGTAATCTCTCTATTCTCAAATGAATATGGTAAATGTTTTTCACCAGTTTCTTCCCTTCACTGTAAAGTTTTAGGCAAAAGCCCACAAAATAATCTGGAGAATGAGCTTTCTATGAAACTATGAAAATAGTTCATGGTGGAAGGACTATGGACAAAATCAGATTAAGTGTAAGGCACAGCTGTATTACATTATTGATAGGTTATGCTTATTCTGTCTTTGATCAGCACTCTGAAGAGGTCTTCAGAGAGCAATGGAGGGAAAATATTCTTTGTAATTTTTCATTATGGAAATGTTCAGGTATGGTGGAAGTTGCTCTTAGCTAACTATCACTTTAACTGTGCTGGGAGCAGATGTGTCTAATCACTTGGTTGTTATTCTGTTTTGCTTAACAGGAACAAGATGATTTAAAATACCTGTAAAGTTTTTATTTGCTCATTAATTTAATATTAATAATCAGGGCTATCAGGTGGGTGTGTTCAGAAAAATCAAAAGGTGGTGAGAGGACTACAAGTGGTATCAGCTATGCTAGCCCTATGGAATGCAGTGGTAATATGCTGATAAATTGATCTATTAAAAAAATTCCTTTCATATATTTGTAATGCTATCTTAAATTATTTGTATTTGATTTGATTAAGGTACTTTTTGCTTGACTGCATGATTTTGACCTCTTGTGTTTTTCCTACTATGATTTTACAAGTAGTCTAGTCTTGCTTTTGTTTGTTGTATCCGTTTAGTCCTTTGTAAGCTGCCTGTATCTTTTAGCAATAACGTGAACTGTTTTGCGCTGCAAATTAAATCTGATTTTAAAAAAATTTACTTTCAGTGGAGTTCATGTAATGGAATTGTATTTTAGTTTTCACAAAACTTATATGAAGTCCATTTTAATTCTTGACAGTTGTTATATGAGGCTTTCCTGAACCCTACAGGCAAAAGGTAGGATACAGGTAGCCTGCCTGAATACTGAGGTAGGTTCAGGTTCCCCATGTGCTTAAAATCTGGGTGTGAAACCTTCTTCTGTTAGCATGTGAGTAAAAATATCTTCTTTGTAATGTTGTAGGGAAGCAAATGAAGCCTCCTTGCATTGTTCATTGGCACTAAATATTTAGAATAAAATTCTATGTCCAAAAATATCTTGTTCTGACCTTTGGTTAACATAAGCATCTTTGACAAGTCTTGCTGCTTAGCTCTGAAGTGGCAGTCCTGCTCTGGCATTACCTCAGTGAATTCTTGGTTCATAATTCTTTTACTTTGCCATCTCCTCCTTTTCCAGCCTAGGGCAGCATAATGGCCTGCTGCGTTGTACTGCTCTGGGTTGCTTGAGCTCCTGTGACCGCCCAGATGAAGCCAGAGGAGACACAGCACAGCAGCATCATATCCTTCCATGGATTTACAGAGCAGTAATAAATAGTGTTTTGGTAGTGGTTCCCTTGCTTTTGAACTCAGGTGAGGAAAGCTAGTATTAACAAAAAATTAAAATTGTGTGGTGAGGTATCAATTCTCTTGTTTCCCATAGTCAGTACTTCAGTAGGACAGGAGACTGAATGTCTTTTTCTTTCAGTCTTTTTACCAGTCACATAAAAGACAAGCATTCAAAAAAATAATAAATTAGATTTATTATCTTCTCCTTGTATCACCATCTACAGCTCAGCATACTGTGACATTATTCCTGGCATTCCTTACTTCACCATAAGTTCGATCAGTTTGTTTCCTTTCTCCTGACAAAGGCATGTCTGTGTGATATGAGCATGCTTTTATTTTAGCTAAACTATTTTAAACTGTTTAGCATGGACTTGGACTTCAAAGACCTATATTTTCTTTTAATTGACTTCTGTGTCTGTCCTAAGCTGTGTGCTCCTGTCCCTCTCTATTGAGGGAATAATGATACTTGGTCTCTTCTGTGGTTTTGGGGTGTGTTTGTTTGTTTGTTCGTTTTTTAATCAATTTGAAGTCCATAGATACGAAATACTTTGTTAGTGCTGTTTGTCACAAAGTAAAATTTTGGCCCAGGGCACAGAGAAGAAATTAGGAAATAATTTCTGTTCCCCCAGTCACACTAGCTGAAGTTCAGCTTTCCTGCCCGCTCCCCCCCCCCCCCCCCCCCCCCCGTTACTTGGTCATTTGCCAGTAGTTTGCAACACAGACTGTGGACTGTACATACTGTCTGCAGAGTAAGTCACAAATGCAAAGCCAGGCAACCAGCAGTGCCTCTTGCTGGCTGCACTGGCATTGTAACGCAATCTTTACCGGTAATGTTGGTGCAGCCTTAATCAGCCTTTCATTAAGTTGTACCTATTGCAGACTTGAGGGAGGATGTTTGCAAATTAAAATGGAAGATGGCATCTTCACCTCTGAAACTTAATGTTACACTGCAAGGTTACATATTATTTCTGCCTAGAGGACTTGAACTTTGCTGCTTTACAGGACAGGCTGCAGCCAGCTGGGACTGGACCAACTCCTCCACGGCTGTTTTCTGCTGGTGAACACGAAGGCAACGAGAAATGAGGTAGGAAAATGCAGGGGAGGGAAAAGGACTAGAGCTAGCGAGTGTCCACCCTGGGTGACTGGATTTTGTGGCTTTCTGCCCCCCTGTTTTGGGCGAAGGGGGCCTCGTTGCTGGCAGCGGCGTGTGCCCGTCCCGGGGAGCCGGCCTGCTGTCCTCTCCATCAGCCAGGCCTGCGGGCGGGACACGCCACGCGCGGATGGGCCACGGAGGGTGGCTCAAAACGCCTTCGCTTTGCCAAAGAGACACTTCAAACGGGAGTTGCCCTCCTGGGATGACCCCTTTCAGCCCAGGTTGTGAGAGAAACGGGGTTTCGAGCAGGCGTTGACGCGCCTTGTGCGCGGACGCCGCGGCCCCAGCCTCCGCCTTGCCTCGCGCCGGCTCCCGCCCACGCGTGCCCGGGCACCGCGAGGCGGAACCCCGCGAGGCCGGGGCGGGGGCCACGGAGGCGTTTTTGGCGAGGGCCCGGGCGGCTGCTCCCCTCACCTCCCGCCCTTCTCCTCGCAGGACACCCCCGTGGCCATCGCCCTGGCCGCCGCGGCTGCTCGGAGGGACGGGCGGCCCCGTCACCTTGCAGGGCCCCCTCGCTAAGTACCCGCCGCGGGTGGTTGGACTAAGAGGGGACCCGCCGGCCCCTTCGGTGCCCGTCGGCCGGGGAGGGGGCTGCCCCGGGCCCGGGGGCCAGAGAAGCGCCCAGAGCCCTCAAGGTGTGGCTGGGACTCCCGCAGTCAGGCTGCAATCCAGTTAGAGCAGGTTTCTTAAGAGCGCCTATGCCTACGCTTCGGTGTTGTTTCAAATGGAGGGTGGACTCGTGTCACTGATGGTTTAGGTCCTAGTTTAGAGCTGTATTTCTGTCCAGCGTGCGTCAGTGAGAAGTAACACCCCAACAGCCTGTGCTTCTGCACGCCGTGTCTTGCCTGATCTTTGACCACAAATGATGAAATGTGCTCACTAGCCTTAGGCAATAGAGGGTTTCCAGTTTTTCTTTACATGAAGGTGCTGTAGGGATTGTGCAAACAGGAGAAAGCTACTCCTTGTGGAATTAAAGAGGAAAAGACTTTGGTTGTAAAACTTCTGATCTGTTTAAACTTTATTTTTGAAAGCCATTTCTTTTCCCTTCCTAGTATTTAGCTTGCATACTAACAAAGAACAGGCTTACTAAAAGTGTACCTTGTTGAGCAGATTTTGAAATCCAAAGTGGTGATACTGATCTCATTTTCATATTGTTTGTTGTTTTGGGGGATTTTTTAGGAAATCAGGCACGATACTAAGAAATTCTGGTTTGGGCTTCCTTCACCAGATCATATATTAGGCTTACCTGTAGGTAAGAACTGAAAACACTTCATTACGTGGATTTCTGATTTTAGGATTTATAACTGTACTCATAGTTCTTGGGCTTCTGACTGGAAATTTAATGCTCAGCAAAGCAAGGAGTTAAAAGCTGCATCTGAATGCTGCTGTGTCAGAGAGAAATACCAGACTTCCCAAAGGGTTGTATTTCTGATCTTTCACGTGTGCTTTGTTCTGTCCGTGTTAAATTGTGTGGTGTTGTTTTAGAACAAGAACAATGACACCAACTGAGTCTGATGAAATTTGCACCAGTCAGGATATAAGCAGAATGGTATCTGTCAAAGCTTTTTTGTATTTCTTACTTGCATTTTGTTTCCATCTGGTGCCCTCCGTTTATTTTCAACTGCCCTCATGTTTTTTGCAAATACGGTCACACTTGTAGATGAGAAAGTATACAACTCTTCTGTCTGGGAAACTTGAAACTCCTATGTGCAGAACGAAGGGGAAAATACAACAACTGTATATAGAAGATGCTGCAATATTCAGAGTCTTTTCTGTGCATGCACTTACCTTTGATTTACATACATACACATACAACTTTGTCTTGCTTTCTATAGCATGAAGTTGATTTCAGGCTAGGATTGGCACAGTCTTGTTTCATGTACCCTGACAAACTGATGGCATTGAACCACGGACCTTGAATGATGGTAATCTATGTGGGGGAAAGTCTGCCTGTCTGATCTGCAGATGTGCAGGTGTAGCCCTGTTTGTGCTGTACTATGTTTCGCAGTTTCCCTTGCTGTATGGCAACTGTCAGGTTCTTTCCCGTTCTGTGCTGTGAGCCCATCCTTCTTCTGTGCTGCCAGTCAAAGGCAGCAATCTTTCTCCAACTTTTCTCCTGGCTTGTATGGGAAAGTGTCATTGAGCTGTCCAGATGAACTAGAGAAATGATAAATGGATTGAGATGTGCCCTGCAGTGCTTGTGTTTATCCACAAGAATTCAATTCTTAAGAATTTAGGAATAATATCCTGGAACCTCACAAGCCAGATACTTCCTGGGAGATTCCTGTCTCCTACTTTTTACCAGGATCATTTTGCTAAAAAAAAAAAAAAATTTTTTTTTCTGCCAGCACTGTTCTTGCTTTTTGTTTTTGCATATGACTCTCTAGATTAGTGCTGTCTGTCTGAGGAGACCACTCTTGGCAAGGAGTTTCAGTTCTTCTAATCAGCAGAAAGGAGCAGGTGCCTTTTGGAATCTGCCTCTTGGAGTGTTAGCTTGGGCAAAGAGCTCTCTGTGGAGAGCAGTGTCCAGTGCTGTGGAAGCCACAGTGTTACAGAGCCAGGAGTTATGGAGAAGGGCTATTGCCCGAGGGTTTGCTCTTGATGTCTTGCTGCAGAATCTCTGGGAAGATTGCTCTGAGAGATTGCTGCTATTAAAATGTAATACTAATTTATTTCGTTGTCTGTGTGAACTGGTGCATCCTTACTTTTACTTCATTAATGAACATGAGAACAGCAGAACCCAAAATACAGATAGCACTTGAGAATGAACAGCAAATTTTCTATATCTCTATTTTTACTATACATTTCCTACTTTCCTAGTATCTTGTTGTTGAATCTGTAACATACCGGCTCTCCTCAGTTACCCTGTGCTCCAGAAACCTGCTGAAAAAAAAGAGAGACTAGATGTTTTATACAGCATTTATATGGTAAAGATTTTTGTCCATCATTGCTTGTGTTTAACAGGCTACAGGTGTCTTGTCCTCCAGAAAACTTTGAAACTGAGGATGAAAAAATAAATAATCAAATTGTAATTCATTTTCTCTAGGCCAACATATTTACCTTTCTGCAAAAATCGATGGTAATCTGGTGATTCGAGCCTACACCCCAGTTTCCAGTGATGAGACAAAAGGTTATGTTGATTTAATTATAAAGGTAAATTTTGGTTTCCTTTAATATAGATAATTGCTAACTGGAAGGAAGGAAAGTACTTCTTGTTAGCAAAATGTAGACTTTTTGATTGATCTTTTGAATAGGATGACTGCATGGCAAACAACTCGTTTCACATTATCCTTGAATAGTAATATCCTTGAGTAGTTGTATCCTGTGGATCTGCTGTGTGTCACTGAGAGATAGCAGAGGTGGGGTAGATGGAGAAGGGAAATCACTTCTTTAGCAGTACTGCAGGAGTTGCTGCTAATGTGTACATTGATTAAGAAAATGGGATACAGAAACAAGGGAAATGCTTTAAGCTAGGGAATGCAGGATGAATTGATCCCAGGACTTCTGGATTTTCTAATCCTTTTCTGCGAAAGAGTTTTTTGTGCGCTCTGTTCTTCATGTTACAAGTATGGTGAATTTTTATTAACTATTTAATACTTATTATATGTTTTGAAAGGTGAAAGATCTATAATGTGGCTGAAGTCTCTGGGAAAGTCTTAAAAAGAAAAGATGAAGCAATGCTATTTTCAGAGGGAGCAATTACAAAAATGGGGTGACACAAGGTTCTTGCTGAAGCGATAGTGAAATGAAGGCTCCAGTATGTAATCTGCCTGCCACCCATTCCTGTTAGCCTGGCTGTTTGCAGAGAGCATTGGAACACGTGGGTGACGCAGCATTTTACTTATTTTGGCTGCTGCCTGTTGCAAGGCACAACAGATAATTGGGATTTAAGAATTGCCTCAATTCCTTGGTCACATGCTAAATTTCAGACCGGCAATATTGTGTTCTACAGTTTGTAATAGTTTCTGGAGGAAAGTTAGTGGTTCATGTCATACAAATTATTGTTTTTACAGGTCTACCACAAAAACGTAAATCCCAAGTTTCCAGAAGGTGGGAAGATGTCCCAGTACCTAGATGACGTGAAGATTGAAGACATTGATTTCAGAGGGCCAAATGGGCTTCTTGTCTATAAGGGGGCAGGTACTGTGACATGAAGGTGGGAGAGCAAAAGGGAGGAACTTGTATCAGTTATTCTCAGAGAGAGGTGTTTTATAAAACCTTGCAACTTTGTAGAGAATCTTTTTTTAAAAAAAGAGAAAATTATCTTTCCTGGTCTTGACCAAGAGCCCGTTGGAGTTGATACGATGGGAAAGAGTACTTTGTGTTTATTTTGGGTGAGGAATAGCTGATTATTGTCTCACTCTGAGGACCATATAATTAAATCTGTAAAGATTGCTATTTCAGTGTATTACTGAGAAGGCTGCACTGGAAATACCTCAGCTGTACATATGGAGGGAGATGTTCCAGATGCTTCTTAAACAAGGGAGGTTGTGGCCTAAGATGCCATCTGAAAATCTCAATGTTGTTACTGAATAACTTTCTAACTGTGACCCAGCTCCATTTCATGATGAAACCAGGTCTGAGTTGACTGGGAAGAAGTAAGTTCAGAGAAGTAATCCTCTTTCAAGATGCAAGTGAAAGATTTTGCTTTGGTCTTGACTGAGAGGGACTGTGTACTTAACTCTTACTTTCGGGGGATGAGAGCTCAGCGCTTCTCTGGATTATGACCTTCTATGATGAGTAGTGTGATGATGAATCTGTTGTATCTCAGAGGAAATGAGTGATGCACATTTTACAAACATTCCTTTCTGCTCTGCTGTGGCTACTATAAGGAACTAGGAAAGTTTGTTTCTAGTTACAGATCTCTTAAGACTGGAATATGCCAAGTGCTCTTCATACAGAATACTTTTCAGGGGCTTTTCGTTTGGCTTGGTCCTTGGAGATGAATTCAATTGCAAAACTGTCTGATTTCGTGGTAGTTCCAAAGCAATGGTCTACCCAGGTGTAGAGCAGAAATTGGCAAGGTCTTCTCATCACAGGATACTAGAGGTAGTCACCTGCCTGAATGCGAGTGTCATGGGGATCTCATTAACTGGGGAGGAATTACGATAATAAAGTACTTGATGAAAGTATATAAGGCTCCAACATTGCTGATTCTAATCTTTGCAGGGGGTCTTGCTTGATGCTGGTTTAATTACAATGTCATTGAATGTGGACACACCCAAGTGGCTAGATCCATGGTGCAAGTGAGGATGATGAAGATGGCCTAAGAAACCTGTTTCTCTGTAGCAGGGGCTGTGGTTACCTTTAGCAACCACGAACGTTCGCAGTTGCTGAGTTGTGTTCTAGGCAGTGATGTGGGAATCCTTGAGTTTATTATAAACGATGTTGGGAAGGAATAAATCAGTTGGTCGAAGCTAGGATTGGAGTTTACAAACCAGGGTTTCTGTTCTGTGCACTCAGTCCTGACTCCATTTAGCATTTCCAGAAGATATGTCTTAATTAATTGGTAGGCTATAGTAATTTATTCCTGTGGGATTTGTATCCGTGTTTGTTTGGGAGTTAATGTACTTACAGGTTTTGAACATTTCCTCTAGGTACCTTTCTTATCAAGCCTCAGAAGAAGTCTGAAGCAGAGAAAAAGTTTGCGAAGTGCCTTGGGATGATAGCTGGAGGGACAGGTAAAACTATTATCGCGTGGAACATCCAGAGGATGAATACATCTCTGGCTGCATGTGAGGAGTATCACACACTGTACTTTAGTAGCAGAGTACTTACACCTGTATCTCTTTTCATGAGTGTTTGGCAACACTGAGGCTTTCCAGTGATTTGAGCTCAGTCCTGGGAGCTATCAACTTCAGAATTTTAATCTTGATTTAACTGTGTGACCTCAAAGAAGTCACTTCACCTCTCTGAGCCTCAGTCTCAATGCCAAAAAATATTTTAGGAGAATGTCTCGAGGGTAGAATTTCTGTATGTGATAGAGAGTGACGAAGAGGAAAGCCCCTGATACAGGTATTGTGGTTTTGTTTTTGTTTTGAAATTATTTCTGATAATAGAAACCCCCAACCTCTGCATTTGGCATGGATTAGAAATTCAGAGGTATCTAGTGCAAACTAAGCTCCCACTGAAGACTGAAGGAAGGCAGCATTAATACTGAAACTGCAGCCATAGAAAGAAATACCTGGTTTTTAACCACTTTATTTTTTAACAGGAATAACTCCTATGTTGCAGCTGATTCGTCATATCACAAATGATCCTAAAGACCACAAAATGTTACCTTCTTTTTGCTAATCAGGTGTGTATACCAACTCATCTGTTTGTCCTTCTTCAATGGCCTGCTTTTCTTGCTGGTCTCTGAGCTTTTTAAACTGATGGGACGTTGTCTCCTAGAGAAAATAATGGTTTGCATATTTCCTACTCTTCCAGTGTCTTTGGTTTGTATTTTATTCCAACCATTTATGAGACAATATGTTCTGAGATAGCACATTTAAGAATGATCGGTAGAGGGAGGAGCAGGAAATGGTTTTTATGTAAGCTTTTAATATATTGTCTTGGGTTAAAAAGATTTGAGGAGAAACTGAATTAAAAAATTATCCACAAGGCCCTCTATAAATACTTGTGTGGTGCCGTCATAGTTCCCATGATCTTCTTTTATTTGTTTTGAAGATGGCTCCTCATAGTTTCACTTTTACTCTCTAATTCCTATATTAGGGAATAAATAGTGTGGACAGATCCTGATCCCTCTACTCATTTTACTCCTTTACTGATTTCAAGGAAACAAGGTTTTGTTCTGTTGATCTGTTTCTACAGTTAACCTTCACCAGGCTGGTACAGGGCTGTATTTGCCAGGGTCAGAGACAAATCCAACTAATTGTGATTTTAGCCTGGATTAAAAAGTTGTTCAAATTGCCATCTTTAAAACAGTGTTTAGGTGGCTATCAAGTATCACAGTTTGCTGTTCTTTAATCTGAATGTACAGAAGCCTGTAATGATAATACTTATTATGTAAGGGGGAAAAAATCACTTTCTTGGTTTGAATGAGTTATCACTGCATTTGTCTTGTTGAATGCCCGGTGAGCTCACATTAGAGGGCATCTTGAGATGGTTTAGAGCTAAACAGCAGTCTTATTTTGCAGACAGAAAAAGATATATTACTGAGAGCTGAGCTAGAAGACATTGCTAAGAGGCATCCTGATCAGTTCATGCTTTGGTATGCACTGGACAGACCTCCACAGGGTAAGGCTGGTGGTACGTGCTGGAAATGCCTCTGCTCATCTCTACAACAGTCAAAGTTTCCCTCTTGCTCAAGGGGCCATTAGTATCTAATACAAAGTCATCTTATCTTACACTTTTAAACAACAGAGATACCCCCAGCCCCTCAGATAAAAGCCTTGCCACACACCTGTTCTGAAAAGTGATCTAAACCAGGGCCTTAAAAGTGTGAACTAATAATTAACTCCTGTTGGGTCAGACATGTTCCTCAGTGGATCTTTTGACCTATTTCAGGATGTGCCAGGTTTTGGGAATTACCAGTAAAAGTCACAGCTCTGTTTTAGGCTATCTCCTGAATCAGGTTATGTTAGCATTTTGTTGGCATTAAATTGATTAATACCTGTAAATAGTACATGCACATCTTTTGCTCTGCAGCAGCTCTAGATTAGATTCTAGTAAAACAGAGCTGCCATGTGTATAGATTAAAGCATTAGCTGTAGTCTGGTGTAGCACTGAATTGGAAATGGAGGGAGAAGTTAAACTGTACTGGATCTCCTTTGAAACTTGGGTATTTGTGTTTGCTGATGTTGTAAGTGATACAGACTTTTGTTTAACAGACACAAGAGCCAAACGGAGTCAGATCAAAGTTCTGTACCTGTTGTCAGCAGTAGCCATGGCCAAAGAGTGGTAACCTGCAGGTCTTGATACTCTTCCAGTCTTCAGTATTTCTCAGTTCTGAGCCAAATATACCTCTACAGATATAATAACCCTCAGTGGTCTGCTTTTGTAAGAGTTTAGTGCATCTCCTTTGGAGCTTGTGTGAGACTTTTGGCAGTCTGTTAGTGGTTCCATAGGATTAGCGCTTTTGTATGAAGAATGACTTCCTCTGGTTTGCATTTGCCTCTTAATTCTTGTGTTGGAAGAGTGTGAATAGGTGCCTATCAATGTTACCAGTGTTACAGAAATCTATCAATTACTCCTGCTGCCCCATCTCTTCTATACTAAGCATTGTTGGTCTCCCCCACACGGCAGTGGTTACATACCTTTGCTCATCGTTGTTCTCCCAACCTTTTCCAGCTCTGCCATGGCCCTTTTTGAGCTGAGCAGATCAGAACTCAACAGCAGTAGTCAAGATGCAGGCAAACTGTATTTTTACTTTGACATGGTGTTCGCTTTTCCTTTCATGATACTTCTTAACATTTCACATGCCTTTTGACTGCTGCTATTTTCATAGCCCCTGAGAAATGAGCTTAAAGCACGTGTTTTTATACATGAAGGCAGGATTATTTTTCCTACTTGGCTCACTTAAGATGGCAGATGCATTCAATAGTACTGCTGCTTGAAATCATTTAGCATTTCTTTCCTCTCTTCAATTTTTTTTTTTTCTCCTGTCATCATCAAACTTTGTCGCTTGATCACTTTTCCAGTTTTAATGTGTTGGGTGGCACGGGTCTCAGTATCTCTCTCTGCACATCTGCCTTTCCATGACCTCTCTTCACTGAAAAAGCTGATTTACTCTTCCTGATTATTCCTACCTGCCATCCAAATTCTTTTAAATCTATCATTTCTTCACAGACTTTCATGTCTTATCAGCCCAATTATTGTTGTCCAGGTGCTAGTTGTCCCTATCCAAGGGGACCACTAGGTTTGAGCTCCGTGAGAGATTTAGCCCTCTCTTGGCTTGCAGTGATGGTGGCATAACTTTGCTGATTCTTCAGCTACTTTGTGAGTACAGCATATGAAGTTTAAAAAGGCTTCAGACTGTCCAGAGATTGAAATTAATAGTGTAAATTTCTTTCTTTCAGATTGGAAGTACGGTTCTGGCTTCGTCACTGCAGACATGATTAAAACCCACCTCCCTCCCCCCAGCAGCGAGACGCTCATTCTCATGTGTGGGCCCCCACCTGTGATTCAGTTTGCATGTCAGCCCAACCTGGACAAACTGGGCTATCCCAAGAGTAGGGCATTTTCATATTAACACTGATGTCATCTGATACCTTTTCGAAAGTGCTGCATATTTTCCTACAGGAACAACTGGTATGTAACTGTGCAGTATTTTGTGTGTGTGTTTTTAACCACTTAATGTAATTTCTGTGGTTTATAGTTTTTCATAATGACCTTTGTGTGTTTTAATACTATAGAACTTGAAAGATCATCTTGAATTGTGTGGAAGTAACTTAAGAGTTAAGTTAGTATGAAATGTTAATTCTGGGAAAAAAAAAGTGTAACCAGGACTTGTTTGTTAACATGGGTATGGAATTTGGGAGAGGGCTATAAATCTGGACTAGGATGATTTGACTGTGCTCTATATGTAATTCATTTAGTGAATCCTGAGGAAGGAGAGTACAAAGAACAGTTTTTGGGTGGTTTTTGTTTGTTTTTAAATGCTGTTTTACAGCCCTTTCTCAGGGACTAAGAAAGAAATCACAGTATGCTATTGAAAAATGAACAGAATTTGGGTAACATGCAAATTGCTTATTACTGTAGCAGAAATTCTCATTAGTGCAAAATCTGTCTGGGAGGATGACATAACTTCATGCTGACTTCCAACAGCCTTAGCTAAACAGTCACTGCCAACTCCCTGTGGAACCGCTGGGCTGCCACTACAGACAACTATCCAGTGATGTTGCACCGTCTGAATGGCACTCTCTAAGCGCACTCTCTAAGCGTAGTGTTGCTCTTTGGGCAGTTTCAGAAATTTCCTTTGCTTCTCAAAAGAACATAGCTTCTCACTCCCTCTAGTAAGCTATGCTGAGTTGATCTTCTACTCACCTACTGCCTCATCTTAGTGCTTTTACCACACATAGCATTTAATTCTTAGTCTTCAATGACTGAAGTACTGCATGTTAATTTCTGGGTATTTGTTTATACTACATTTGTTTTAGGGTCTGACAAATCCCTGAGCTGGAAGACTTGATTCTTCAGATGCTAGTGAATATGTTTACTAATTATTTTTATTCATCTAAAGCAAAACAAAAGGAATTTACTAGTTAAAAATTGGCATGGGGATTTGTACTTCATCAGTTACATTTGTAGCAACAATGCAAAGACACAGGGATTCAGACTGTGATTCTGTCCCTGATGAGAGATCAACCATATGTCTTTGTGTTAGAATCATTCCACAGTCAGCAAGAGATGGAGGAACATTCAAAATTTATTCATAAGTCAAAAAATAAGCATTTATGCTGGTGTTATGCTAATTAGGATTTCTTATCATATATATATATTAAAAAATCAATAATTTTGTAGATTGACCATTCACAGCCAAATTAGCACAACACAGAGTTATAAATACATCATCAAAAGAAATCTGAACATCCAAGTGGAATATACCAGTGATGTTAAGGCTGCCTCTGTTGGAGCAGCTTATCCTACTTGCAGTGCTGTAATAAGTTTGCTAGCTAATTAACCTGACAAAGTATTTCAGATGCCCTTAGTACATGATCTGGTCACTAGTGTTGATTGGAGATGGACTTGACTGGTATATTTAATAGCTTTTATTAAGCATTTTTGGTTTGCTGATGTGTAGATTGACTTCTCAACCTTTTGGATTTTCCATTATCATTTAATTGTTCAGTGACTGAAAAAAAAATGCCTTGGTGTTATAATTTTGGACAATTAAATCACGTATTTAGCTTTTAAAATCTGACCATACAGAGTAGTGTCCCTCATGGAGCGAGGACTAGAATAGGTCACCTTTAAAAAGTGCCACTGCTAGCTCTGGAGAGTACCAGAGATTTCCCCTTCACCTGGGAGGGTTGTAGCTGGGGGTGACCTGCCCTCAGGCTCCTTTAAACCAACACCCTGCAGCCAGCAAGGAGAGAATAACACAAACCATCCATATATATACTAAGTTTTTTCTTTACAATTAAGATTTCTTTTCTGGCATTTCCTTATTTACTAAGATACCATGTTAATACCTTAATAATCCATGAGACACACGTCAACAGCTGCCCCAAGTAACTGTAAAGGAGACCCTTCCACCCTTCAATGGTGCCTCAGGGGAGTAGTAAGAGGCCGTATTTCCCTCTGTTACAGTGCTGCAGTCTTGCCTAGCTCAGCAGAATAGCAACAGATTTATTTTGTCAGGGGTTTCAAAGAAACAAATAACTTGTTTTATTATGGAACTTGCTTGATGTCCCTGAGTCATATTTTACCCATCACAGAGCAGTAAGGTTTGTCTCCTATTGCTAAATTTTCTATGAAAATCTATCTGTAGCTGGAATGGAGAGGGAACTGGAAGTGAACAGCAATATTGTTTACAACATCACCAGTTCTCATGCAAATGTTACAAAAGTGTTTCCACTGTAATCTCCAGTCCTCAGGACTGTTTGCAGCCATATATTTAATTAGGTGTGACTACTGAAAGAAAATAGACTTATTACCATTCCTGGCTTCCTGAGAGCCAGTACCATCTTTCAGAGCAACTAGGTATGGGGCTCAGAAAACTTTGTCTGAACCACTCTGTCCAGAAGGCGTATGGAGATCCTGCTGCTTGCACATGTGCGTCAGTGCTGGCCCTTTTAGACAGAATGTCAATGCACAGAAAGAGCCAATTCAATACTTCTAGTTAAAGAACTGTCATTTAAAACTAAACAATGGATCATGCCAGAAATTCTGTTGCCCTTCCCCCCTACAGAGTGCAGCAAACACTGTTCTTAAAGTTAGATTAGTTGTGATTTCTCCTTGACAGTGAACATCTTAGTACACACGTAAAAATAACATGATTAAAAAAAAAAATCACTTCAAATGAAACACCAGCTTTTGAGTCCGTCAGTTTTTCTGGCAGTTTAAGTTACATTTCCTGCTGTAGTTGTTCAGCATCGTTTTCAGTTAGGTCAAGATTTGTGAAGATGCCACCTTGCCATCCTTCTGATAAAAGCCAGGGTTGACAGACAGTATTATGTTCCATTCTTCCCATCCTACACTGCACGCACTTAGACAAAAAGAGGGCAGGGCATGTGCTAATGAGAGGGATGAGATTAAAATCCTCTTACGGGAAACAGCCTCTGACAGGACTGCAGTAGTACTTACTGCACTCACCAGCATCCATCTGCATTTCTAAGTGGCTCTGATTAGTCCACATGGTAAAATAGAGTGTTAATGATTCCTGCATTACAAGTTTGTTATAAAAATAAAAAATTACAAAAGATCTTTCATGTAACAGTACATAAACATAACCTGTAAAAGACGACTGAACAAAAGGTAAAACGTACTGCCAGTCTTGGCATCCCAGACTGGATATGAGAACCACTTCTCTCTCAACACTTAAATGAAGAATAGTGCAGAGGAGAGTTACCTGTAATGTCTTGCTACATCGACAAGATTAAATGCTGTGCGGCAAGTTTCATTGGCAGAAAAGACGTAAAGCTTTTCTGCACTACAGCATCAAGCTTCTCCTGGCCACCCCTCGGGACAGGCATGAGGTATGATTAGTGTTCTTGGTCATGTAGAAATATCATCTCCAGTCTTCAAAGGTAGGTGTTAAAAATCTGCTGTCATTCAGCATTTCATCTTGGCTTAACATTGTCTGAAAAAAACAAGATGTGAACAAGTAAGCATATTCAGTTAGAGGCCTATAGTTAAAGAAATCCACTGTAATAAGATCAGATTCACAACAGAAGGGTTTAGAGCCACATAAAATTAAAAGGAATTTCTTGAATGCAGGTTTAAATAAACTATTATTTGTTTGAATAAATTCTCTCAGATTTTATGTAATTCTTCGCCATACCTTTCAGTCAACTTTTTTTTTTTTAAAATTACCTGCTATGGAGTCAGAACTTAATAGTGATCTTTGTTTGTTTTCCAAGGAGTTTTAGGTCGTGTAAATTTTCACGTCTGTATCTCTTTGCTAGACTTTGCTGTGACTGAGGCATTTGACAGTGGCTACTTGCAAAATCTTTGAAGGATTGTTTTCATTTAAGGGCATAAATATCTCTCATTAGGTCAGAGATAGCAGAGCTCATGAAAACTTAAAATAGGCTTAAAAGAAACGTAATTTCTAGTGTGACTTAAAAGCAGGGTTTTTTTCGGACTGTGAATGTGCAACCAGGCTCTAAAGAGGTACTTAACAAGAACAGTGACCCACGTACTCTTAACTACCACTAGCAATGACCAACTTTCACTAAATTCTAACAGAATAATACATTTGTGACTTTAAAACGAGAGTGAAATTAGTACATACCGTAAGATGGCTTATGCCTTGTGAAAGAGCCCCTATTTGCATTACTGTTCCTTCTGAATGTTCCATCTGTAAAAGTATTCAGGAACTAGTTCAAATCAGACAGTATGTGCAATTTTATTCACTCAACATGCATCTTTGGGAGGTATCTGTGCCTGGACAAATGAAGTCATGAAGAGTTTAAAAGCTCTGATTTCTGTATGTTGATGAAAATGCCTCCATGCTATCAGGTATGTGAAAACACATTTAACAATAGGAAGAGTGAATCCTGATTAAGCGAGATTGCTTCCATGAAACTTAAGCTGTAATTCACACAAGAAAAGAAAAAGCTTAACTGATAGTATCAATGAAGAGTAATGTTTTCCAGATGTTGTAACCCTTCTGGTAGTCTTCTTTCACAGGCCAGAAGTACGAGTCCTTCACGACACAGTCCTCCCTATTCTAATATGAAAAGGTACCTGTTCTAGGGCACTGAGACTTCACTGCATGACCACAGGCTCAGAAGTCGTGCTTAATTGTAAGGCCATGCTCCTAGAGAAAAATCCAGTTTTTGTAACGCTTGAACAGCAGCGCAGGGTAAGTTAATGCGTTCGCTTGCAACTCTTAACTGTGCAAGTGGACATCCATGCTAAGCTACCGTCAGGATGTGGTACTGGCCCTGCTTCAGACTGAAATACTGTAGGTGGATGTTGAAAAAGACAATGGTTAGACAATGAACACAAATGAGATGTTAGATGCAGTAAACCATGCAATTGAAAAATACTTCCACAGTTACTTTTCAATTTTGTGACCATTCTCGTATCAAGCTTAAAATGTTTTTATCTCACTTAAGGTGAAATAAAAACTGGAGATAAGACAGTTTACCCCAGCTGCCTCTGTCTGGCTCTTGTGTGTTGCCAGAGTTCACACAAGCCTCCAGGAGCCCCGTTTTTCAGGGTTTACATCCCTTTACACAACAGCAAAGTTGAATAAAATTTGATGGGTTTTAGTCTTCAGCATTTGTCTGTATGATGTCTAGACAGTTTCATCCACAAGTTCACTACTACATAACAAAAGTGAATTATTTAAGTATTGGTTTATTAATAATCTTGTTCATTACTGATGCATTGTTTTCACATATACTAAGTGTAACTAGTTCCCACTGTACATAATGAAAGAAAAATTCAGTTGGATTCTTTGATTAATGTCTGTTAAAAATATACAGTCCAGTTGTACTGTAATATATAACTTGATAGCTTTGTACAAATTAATCCAAATAAATTTATTACATTAAAAACCACCCATAAAGATAATGAAAAAAGTAGTGTGCCATACTGAGACTATGAAAGCTAGAAGTACAAAAGTATTGTGTTTACTGCAACCACCACCTTAATTAATTGTCAAAATACATTGATCTTCATAGTGTAAAAGGTATTAAATTCCTGAAAAAGGGCTTGCAGATGGAGGAGTTTATTATGATGTTGATTGATTAAAAAAATTAACCCGACATTCTTAGCACAGAACTGTTTCCAGTGTCCATAGCCAATATGTTCTCAGTAAGTTCATGCGGATGTAGCAAATACTTTGTTACATGCTGACGTTTGGTTATTTGCAAGCTTTGGAATGCATGGGGAGGATGAGATGAGAATGGCGTCAGTCTGTCTGTCCCACCTGATCCAGTTCCCTATCAGGGAATGGACTAAGTCCTTTGTAGCCACCATAGTTTTTCTGAGTACCATTCGTAGCAGCTGGGTTTGTATCCATAGGACAAATGTAATCTGTTGATTCATCAAATTTCTTTTTTCTTAAGTTTCCAAAATGTGAAAATCCAAGTTTCTTTGGCTAAAATAAGACAACACAACAAGTTTTGAATAAGAAAGATAAGGTTGTCTCTTAAACATTCAAAATCCTCTCCTTTTTGATTTACTGCTATACCCTAGTCCTTCAAGTACAGAGATTCTGAACTAAATTTATTTGATTGCTTTCCAATTGGCAGTTACAGTTGATGGTGAATACATTTAGATAGTGTCCTTTCTAAGAAAAGGCAGAAGGGATTCCATGCTTATTTCAGAAGCTGATTTAAACAGATAACAAATGAAATGCTTTGCTCTCTAGAATTCAGGAAACAGTAACAGGACTGACCTCTCCCTGCCCATGCTTGTCCCTTATTTGCTTTATAAGACAGGGCAGAGGAAGTCTGACCTGTCTCCTTTTTGAAAGTGGTACGTACCCGAACTTTGGCAGTGGTGGTCAGAGCTGTGTATGCTGTTGACTCTGTTACTTCTCTTTTTTCTTGTTGTGCCTCTGGTCCAATCAATACATTAAAATTGGTTGTTAGGTGGCGTCGCAGTAGGGTCTTTTGAGGTGGAATATTCAGCAGCATTGCCAGTGTGTCACCGTTGAAGCGAGGTTCAAGAATCTAATAAAAACCAGCAGAATACTTATTTTTTATATGGTTAAATATTTGCAATAGTAAATCATTACAGTGCTTACCAGAGGAATTTCTCATTCTTACTACGCTGTCTATCTACATTAGACCTTTTATAACTCACAATATGATGCTCACTTGGGCTTGAATTGGAAATAGATGAAAGTAGGCACTAAGAAATGCAGAGCATGATCAGGCAAATGTATAAGGTTTGCTAAAAATATAAATATGTCTGAATTGAACAAATTCGTCTTCAGAATTTTCTGCTCTACTCAAAGTATAAACTTCATCTTAGCACAATTTTTTCTATTTATTTTTTGCAAAAAATTTACAGCACTAGAATCATGGTATTTCAGAACTCTGACTTTACTGGGCTGCAAATGGTTCTGAATGTTTTGAATTTTAAAAAGCGTCATTCCTGATTGCTGGCAAGCCTGCTGCAAGTTCAGGACAACTCTGCTGTGGCTCAGTGTTATATTAAAACCACTCAGAGAAACACTCAATGATGCCTTATCAATAAGTAACTTTTCCACTGTACAGTTTGGGTTTTTTTATGTCCTGCTGTTAAACAGTCATGCACAGCTCAGCCTCGATTATAAAAATGTTTTAGCAGTTCCTTTTTAATTTTAGTTTTCCTTTGTAAAAATTAAGAGGCATGGATCAGATAAAGGGGCTCTTTAGAAGGCCTGATCATGCTGTCATATGGCAGATGTATTTGTTCCCTCCTGTTTGACAAACACCAGAGAAAAGATGTTTTATATTACAGTCTGTCAATTTTTAGTAAATATGTAGTAAAATGTTAAACCACGTTCTTACAATCAGGCCACCATGCACTCCGCTTCCTCGAAGGTTTGGTGCGTACTCTGCCAGATCGACTGATCTGAGCCATTCCATCACTCTGTGGTTGGACCACTGAACTACTTCAGAAGGCGAAACGCTATTCTGTTAAAGTAACCAGAAAAGATGAAGACACTGTAGCCTGCATTGTCACTGCATGTTCACAATATATATCCTCAGTTCAGAAAAAAACCACATTATTCCTCCTCTTTGAGGAAAAGCAGTATTTTTTCCCTGATGCTAAGGTGTTGTTTCTGTTCAAGGCCGCTTTCAGACATCCTCTGAGGAGATGGCACAGTCCAGTGCAGATGACACCCCAGATATTGCATCAAGTAGTGTAACAGTAGAGATTGCAAGTGCTAGGTGTGAAAAAGGGAGCATTCTGACAACAGTATTAGTCTTCAATAATTAAGAAAATAAGCTATGCTGACCAGGTAAGGCAAAAAGTCTTTCAGTCTTTCACAGTTAAAAATTAGGACAGGCAAATAAAACCCATTCCAAATTATTCTCTCAGAAGTTTAATTCACTTCTTTAAGCTAAGCAAATAAATTCTAAAAGGAAGTGCATGAGATTCAACTACTAAGTGGCTCGAGCACTTAAGGACTGAGTGGATTTTTATTATCAGTTGTTACATTCCAGAGCTGGAAAGCAGCATTAGATGCAATTCCCTGGTAGCAGTGACCCTGCTGTATCACTGTACGCTGTTAACTTTCTATCCCCTTTGGCTGGAATTGGGTAATTAGTGCTTGTTTAAATTGATTAAACATTCTTTTACCTCTTCAACTGGTCTTCTGCGTAGACAGTGGGGGTTAAAACTGTTGACATGCAGCACGTGAATGGCACACTTAATACTCAGATGATGCAGCTGACTGGTGACTTTCAGAAAGAGAAGGTCATTCTGGAAAGGAGAGAGCCTTGTAGGTGGCACCGAATACATACCAGCATAGGTACTTTCCCCAAGAAGAAAGATTTTAAGCTTGTTATGTAGCTTTATATAAACCACAGTAACTGTGGTTTAGGTAAAAGTTTATATTTTAAAGAGGGTGGCGTTGGTTGGTTTTGTATGTGTGTTTTTTAAATATTGCACCATATCAAGACCTGGCTAAAAAATGAAGGAGAGCTGTAGCCTATCAAGTAAAATCCAGGCTCATGGATAGTCTTAAAATCCTTGGACTGTTTCTGATTGGGCTAAGATCCTGCTGTGGGTAGGATCACTGCAGCAACACCTCCCTAACCATGGAACAGTAGGGACCAGGCTCCTCTAACAAAGGCTCCTTCAGCAGCATAGTCAAGGCTCTACTTTTGATAACAGCTAAATGATGAAAAAAAAAAATGCTTAGCACAGTTAACAAAATCAAACAATTATCCAAACCTGGGCAGAAGGATTGTAAGAAGACTCAGTGACTAGGTGTAGCGCATGGTTTGCTGCTAATGTGGTCGTCAGAGCTGTACAAATTACTGGATTTGCTGCTTATCTTTAGTTTACTATATGTTGTTGCTAACTGGGTGTGGAGAACACCACACTCCAGCAACTGCATGGAGAATGGGTCATTTTACCTGTAATCATGATGTGCTACGTGATATTGAAAGAAAGGCATTGCAGAAGTTTGCTATAACATAGCCTGTGATTTACATACCTCAGGAGCAGGAACCACGCACTAGACAGCACAAATTAGTTAAACTGAGGAAAAAAGGTTTTAGCTTACCACAGTTAAGTACTGCAACATTCTCCCATCAACTCTGGATTCATGAAACTGGTCTTTGTACTGAGGTAAACCAATATCATCAAGCCATCCTGCAGATAGAAGAACAGTGAGAATGACACCCTTCCCATCATGTCTGGGCCGGTGGCTTCTGAGGCTTTCAGGGAGCTCGTTCTACCTACGCACCTTTCAGAAGGAACAGCCTCTTACCAGAAGCCGAAAAGCAATTCCCACCAACCAGCTTTGGCCACCCTACCCCTGTGATATTTTACAGGCAGTGTGTGACTGAGCACGTTCCTTCCACAGCACAATGTAGCTCTCGCAAGACTGAGGGCCCCCCCTTTACTTTCCTGCAGTCTGAAGGACAGAGTTCCGCTTGGAAGATCAGGCTGTATAGCTGTATGTTTGAGTGTCAAGAACACTACAAAAATCCTCAACCTCATGCGTTGAAATTCAGTGCTTTTTAAAAAGATGTTTGGTAACTGCTTAAACAAACCTGTGTCAGGCAGCCCATCCATAGGAGTGGGGAAATTCCAAACAATTCCATGGCAGTTCAAACACTTACGTGTCACCCAGATATGATCGAGTTGCGCAGACTTCTCCTCTTGTTTTGTGTTTATTGATTTAATGGCCAAAACTAATTTCTTCCTGTGCAGTGGATGCTTTATTCCCATTTCCTGCAACAATAACCATTAACAAATAGTTTGCCTTGTCTCTAGCTCGTTTCATCTCATTAGATATCTACAAAAATTGATCCTACAAATTTTAGAAAGGTAGAACTGCCAGTTGTTCGTGAAGGGGTCTGGTTGTACAGAATCAACATGCATAGTTGCTCGAAAGAAGCAGTTACAGATTATTACCTTTTCCATGTCCTGAGGTGTCGCAGTTAACAGCGTGTGGCCTGAGGTCACCCACTGCCGTGCGAAAATGACGTATTGACCAAGACCGAAGTCCTCAAGCCAGTTACAGACTCTTTCAGTGCTCCACTGAGCAAACGGAGCGTTGTGGTCACTGAAAAGTACAAGAAATGATTGAAAAATTGTAAAGGTTTTTGTCAGAAAGGTCACTGTGTGCCAGAGGCAGTACTGCAGTGCAGGTGGTGGTGTGAGCAGTTGGAGGCAGGCAGGTGTTTGTGTGTGGGGGTAAGAATTTCCCATTTTCTATGTGAAAAGAGAATTTCCGAATCCTCATCACTTTGCAGATATTCCCATAGGAGATGGTGATAAGTTTTCTTGTTTTTTAACGAGGTGAAATTTTTGACACTCCAACAAAGAGCAAGTGCTGCAACCTGCACACGAGGGAGTGCGGACAGGGGAGCTACTCAGGCTACATTTTCTACCAGAGAAATTATTTCTAGTTGTTGTGAAATTCTACCTGGGAAGAAGTACATTGGGAAAAAATGTACTTCGTGAGAGTAGGATTTAGCTGTTCAGCACATTTAACAATATTGCACAACAGCTGTGCAAGGTGAAGAAGGAACCATTACCTTTTCTGGCCTTTGGTTTCCTTTGATCTGGATAACCGTGGCCCAGCTGTTGCCCGGAGACCGCCTCTTCGAAACTCTGCCAAACCCAGATCGTCTGCAGGGAAGTTACCTGACTGAGTTCTTCTTATTCTTTCAAGACAAGAGTGCCACGATAGTACTATTAGCGTGCAACAGAGAACATTTTTTTCATATGGAAACTATAGTGACAACTACAAGCTGTATTAATCCTGTATTAATTTTTTTTTTTTTTTAACCTGATGCCTTCTGTAATGAACAACTTACTACCACTTAATCTTTCATCGCTAATGAAACTGTTGGCATTCTAAATTATTAGCGTTAAGATGACAGCAGAGTCTTATTTCTGCCAGCAGCATGACACTGTGAATGCTACCATCCATTTTTGTACACCCACACCCGTACAATCCCAGAGCTGCCTTCTCTCCTCTTCCCGACTTTCACTTTATTCTTGCTGTAGCTAGCGTAGCTTTTGCTGAGAACTGGATTCATTCTCAGCCACAATGCTTTGACAGGCAACTAAACAAAAAAAAAACAACACCTTACTTTCCCCAGATTTTCTTGATCCCTTTTGGACTCTTTCTGTTTTCTGGAGACAATGGAGATTGTGGACCCGAATCTGTTCCCGAAGAAAGAGGTGAAAGGTCATCCGACACTACTGTACCATCCACATTTTCTGTTTCTCCTGGGTTAAGAACAGTAATATAATCACATTTTATACTAATTATTAACAAAGTTGTTATCTAGGAGACTAATGTTTAAATGTAGAAAGTAATATAAAAGTTAAAAATATCTATAAAGTTGTTCTTGTATTAAAAACTTACGCTCAGAAGGTGAAAAAATAGTAGCTGTACATTTAATACAAAAGAGAAAATAATACAACTTCGGGTAAAACAGTATTGTTATTTCAAATAATTTGTATTTAAATACATTATTTTAATTAATTTAAGGTCTTCAGACTCTTGCCTTGCCTATTCTTGACACCATAAGCTCCTCCATCAAAATCAGTGGGAATTTTTCTGTTGACTTCAGTGAAAACAGAATGAAACCAGGACTAGGTATCTTAAAAAGAAATCCCATCCGAATGCCTTAGAGCAAAAACTGTTACTTCATTTCACTATTGCACTTAAGGAATTCAATCTGGATGGCCCACTTGGTATTAGTATTTCATAGAGAAAGGGAGGGGGAAAAGGAAAGGAAAAAAAGTAAGCAGCAAAATTCATGTTAAAGTTGCATCTTGTTTAGATACAGTACCTAGCACTGGTGCACTGACACTCCTGGTGCGATCTTCAGTCATCCCAAGAAGCAGAAAGCCAGATGAAGAAGCAAAGAAGATATAAAACACCAGCAAAATAAAGTTACAGAAGAGCAAAGAAGTAAGTTAAGCATTAAAAGCAGAAACAAAAAGAAAAGAAGCAGTTATGCTTGACATGAAAGTGAATATGCATTGGTGTGCATAACCCCCAAGAATTCTGTACAGATCATCTTAAATAGATAGGGATGATCATTTATCTTCTGATTTTTTTTTTTAAAAACTATGCTTGGACAATTTTAAACACTTTAGGCATATACTACAGAGCTCCACCAAGCCTGCAGAATAGCTGAAATGAAGCAATGCTTAAGATTACATCAAATTCTTCTGAAATACAGAACTGGAGGTGTAATGCACATGCAAGAAACAAACCAACCTGCATATAAAATTCTGTTAATTCAGTGTATTTAAGGAGTAACTGCTGGTTTCTAGAAAAAGAACATTTTCCTTTACAAGATCACCCATCCTTGGATAATCCTGCAGTTAAAGACATAATAGCATGGCTCACACATTGCCTACAATGTTTAAATCACAGGAAAACTCCCTAAAAAACCTTAAACAACCCCCAACCTATTGAAATATTGCAACATTGAAACTATAGTATCCTAGCGGCTTTTAGGACCATGAGGCCTTAAAATAAATAAAAAAAATCCCAAACAACAACAACAAAAAAAAAAACCCAAACACCGTAAACTTTTAAAGTGTAGGAACACTTCAAAATCACAAGAGATACTCTTGTGCCTCAGCTCCCAGGCTCTTCAGTCCTTGGCAAGTACCTGATTCTGTGCCTCACTGTAATACTTTTTTGTCAAGAAATCCACACAATGTCACTGAAAAGAAATTAATACAGCCTTCCTTGCAGGGCTGTGGTTGTAGAATAGCAATATACTTGTATTTTCAAAATCCACTGCTGTTTTTCTGCACCCAACAAGTTTATTTTTCCCTTGTGGGTCCCCATAAGCTGTGGCAACCAACAGTGCTAAGATTTTTTTGTCCAAAATGTGCACATTAGTGCTAGTTATATTGTAAAGTTTCACACACTAACATGCAGTGCGATGGCAAGGTATGGGTTTGTTTGTTTTATTTAACACACCAATCTAGTGTGCAATTTTAAAAATACTGGTGATGTACTTGGCTGTAGTTTTTTGTTTGCTTGCCTTTTTTTTAAGAAAACAGATCAGCAACCTCAGGGGAGCATTGGAAGCATGGCTGGAAAAATACTGCTTATTCATATTGTCAATATGTTTGCATCTCTAAAAGTTCACATTTTTAATTACAGATTTATTGACTTTCAGCATGCTCTCCCCACAATCTCCAAAACAATGTCTTTTCATTACTTATGCCATCGATGACATCAGCAAATTGTATCATCAAGTGCAACAGAAAAGAATGCTCTGACTTGAAACCATCCTTTACCCTCCAGTGAGCCAGTGTAGAATATTTTTGGCATATTATTAAAAAAAAAGTAGAACTTTCCCTAACTGAATCATGTGAATGTCAGAGCCTGTTGTTCTGGCATAGCAGATCATAGACCGTGTCATGTCCTGATCCCTCAGTTTGCTTTTTCCCTCCTACAAAACCCTCCCAGAGGCGTGGGTACCCACTCAGGCTCAGGCTGCTGCTGTCCTCGTCGTTCACACCGCACCCATCTGGCGAGCTGTACGTTCCTTGCTCTCCGTTCTGTAAGGGTCGGGGCAGCTTTCCTGGCAAGGTTTGATACTTGTTGCCTTTCACAAGTGGCTTACTCTGTTGGTATGGGTTTTTTTTGTGTTTTTTTTTTTTTTATTAAGAGGGAAAAATAAAGAAATACAATATCAAATCACATATAGTAGTTGCAAACTTAGCAGAAAATATTTTCATAGTTGAGAAAAAGTACTCTAAGTTCATGGTTCAAAATGACATCACCCCCTCCATATTCCTTCTTACAGATAATTCAATTTAAATCCAATAGCCAGCTGACAAAGTTTTCTAGCTAAGACACAGCCCTCTCTTCCCTCATCTGCCCCTCCCACTTCACCCAGACTGTATATTACATTAAAATATAATATATGTTGAATATTACATGGTTTTGTCATAAGAATTTTTCTAGCTGTGTCACTTTCCTCTAGGATCCTGGCACTATATAATAATTTGGTCCTTCCAAGGCCAACTTTGACAGTGCCAGAAATACATTTAGCTACTTCTCAGACCATTCTTGCCTCTCAATTTTTTCCCCTATTTTCCACCAGTCTATGTTTCTGCTTCACAATTGTATCTCACTGGAATTTAAGACAAAAGTATTTGTATAACTCAAATTTTGTCAAACATATTTGCCCACCACCATTAATAGCAGTAGAAGAACCAACAACAAAGTTAAGGTACAGAAATTTAACCTTGGTAAGTATTAAGATCTCTTTGTATAGATAACATTACAAATGTGAGATTTAAAAAAAAATAATTATAGCTAAATATATAGCTGCCAAATACATCACAAAACATATAATTGCCAAGTCTATTACAGAACGTAAGCACAAGCTATATGCTTTGATATATGCAGGGGAAAAAAAAGTAGACTGAGCTGTATTTTAGGGCTAGTCTGGATGGCTGCTGACTCCAATTTTTGTCCACGCTCGGCTAAAATAAGAGTTTAACGTATGGCTCGCCTGCAGCTATGGTGCACATACAGTGTGATGAGCACCAGCGAGATTACTTGTGCTGGGAGGCCCTTCCTTCAGCCACAGAGCTCACAAGAGGTGGTCTGCAAAGTCTCACTATATTGAATTGGAAGGGAGCTGGTATGGAGGCTTTGCTAAAAACAGAATATCTCTTAATATTCCTTGTATTCAATTTTTCAGTGATCAACTACTTGGGGATCTCACTCCTTGTACAGGGATAGATTAGAACTTGCATAGAAATCTGACTGTTTTGGGCCCAGTAAGATACTTTTCCAGCCAAAATATGTGTTTCACAGAGGTACTTGTCTACAGTTTTAGAAATGACACATTGAGACTTCTTCAATACTGAATCCAAATGAGAAGATGAAGGAGCCTTCACTCTGGACAAAAACGTATAGACCAGAACTGCCAAAACTATAGGAATACGGGGGCTTTTCCAGAGAAGCAATGACCTGCAACTCCAGTGGACATTTGTGGGAGCGGTGTACATTCATTGTGTGTTTTGGAATAAGCTCATATCGGTAAATGTTTCTGTATTGGAGAGGAGGTTATGTAAGAAAACTTTGTACTGAAAATATGCAAAACATATTGAGTATACAGCAACATATAGTATGCTCCTATTTAGTAACCCCATTCTAACAAATTTGTTTTAAAACATTGTCTGTGACAGGATGATACATGAAATATTTAGTGAGATAACCACTGGTCTATCTGTTCTTATTTCAAGGCCTAGAGGGATCCATCCTGACTTGTACCAAAAATTATATGAGTAGAGAAATTGCTTATTCCATTAGCACTGTATTTTCTGAAATGTACAGATTCCAGCTTCTAAACTCACATAAAAGCTTTTAGATTAAAAATAAATAAATAAATTTTCCTCTCAAATCCTTACCCCTGTTCTCCGAGTTTGTCAGTACTGGAACTATGCAAACATTTTAAAAAGAAAATGAATGTAAGAATGAAAACACAGACGTACCATCACAGCACATCACAACAGATAAATGTTAAGAGAGTTTACAGTTAATATACCTCTTGTTCTATAACAGGCTGTACTGGTTTTCCGTCTACATACTACGGAGTTGCAGGGAGGGTAATTTCAAAGTTTTATGGAAAAAAGCAACAGACAAATGTTAGTATTAACATACATACACAGAACAATTGTAGTCTTATTACTATAGTGCATTAAGAACATATTACAAGGTCTGTTATCTCTTCATTTCATTTCAATGAAGTATTTAATACTAAATGCATTTGTTCAAACCACTCTACAAAATTCAGCCCCTGTTTGGGTTCTATTGTGATCAAATGAATTTTTCTATTTTCTGGCTTCTGAGTGGTCCCTTCAGGCTTACTTTATGCTGAGAACATAACAGTTTAACAGTTAAAACGATATGAAAATGACTGACATAAAAAAAGAACATACACAATACTGTATGCGGCCAGCTGAAACCATAAAGAGCTGTGATAGAAATGAACTGATAAAAATACCAGCACAGCTAGGTCAGAGGCACCTATGTGTTTTATTTTGTCTTATAATTATTTTTATTGCTGAACGCAATTGGAATTTGAGTTTTGTGCAAAGTAGAATAGCTCCAGTAAACAGTGCTGCTAGCACAGGTTCTCCTAGATAGAATGCAAGAAGCAGTGTCTTGTCATGTTGAGCCAGAAAAACAATTTTTCTTGGCCTTAGCTTTGGTTGTAACTAATTCACGTTTAGTTACTCACTCATACACAGAGGGAGGTCTCAGCTATTTCACTAAGAAGCCTCATGCCTAGATTAGGGCATACAATTTACATGACTTGCTGAACATGGGGCCGGCCTGCTGCAATTCTCTCACATCCTTGGTAGTTTTTTGTTTCTCTGTGGCCTCTGATTTAACAAGTAGATCATATTTACAGCCTGAATGTATAGGTACAGCCTTACCACATCATATCAGAGACAAATTAAGTTTTTGAATTCAAGACAGGAAAATAATTTAAAAGTTATGAGAAGAAAACAGACCTTCATAAATGCCACATGGAATTAAATGTTAGTTCTGAATTGATTTGTCACATGTATGACCACAGTGAAATGAGTGCAACACAAATTTCAAACATTCTGTTTGGTCGCTGTCATCTTCATAGATTTAAGAAAAATTTAAGAAAATCTGAAGAGCTGGAATAATCATATTGCTAATATCTGTTTTAAATGGCATTACTGGTTGTGGGTAATCTAGTATTAGGCCAAATTTCAGTGTAGAAAGTGTCAATAACAGTCTCACAAAGCATAACTACAAATGCAGAAAAATTTCAGTGCACATAATGACAAAACAAGCTTCTGGACCATAATGTAATGAGACTGTAAATTGGAAAGTCTTTATTCTGGAGTTGACTTAAGCCTTTGAATTAATAACAGCGCTCCTGCTGTTTTACCTATAGGAGCATTACTACCAGCTTCAGGAATGCCATTTATAGCAGAAATCTAAGGTAGGGAACGACACTCATATTTACATGCAGACACTCAAAAAGGAATCCTATGTGGAAATACCCAGTCCCAATATTCAATTACTTTCAGGATTTGCTGCCTCAACATTTTTAGTGACTTGGAAGTCAAAATTACTTTAAAAACACTTACCTATATACAAAATAATACTGCAGTTCAACAAAATGACTCCTCATTGACATTATTTGTTGTATTTATCTTAAATAGTTTTCTTTCAGATGAAAAGCTGAATTTGAGGATGTGTACATATGGGTATGTCAGCTATCTTATTCTAAGCTTGGCAGTGGGGTAAAAAAAGAACCCAAACTGTTTTATCATTGGAGCTTTTTTCCCCACATACAATGTTAGTGGTGGCTAGGGTTCCTATACACGAAACAAAAAGAGTATTTATACCTGAACTTTATCATTCAGTTTTGACATTAAACACCAGAAATTGTGATTACAAATAAACCAACCTTTTCCAGGGATTCACTCTGCAAGTCTTCCAAACTACTTGACTTCTTTTTCTGTGGAATCCTTAAAGTAATGACAGGCAAAAAAGCAGCAATTAATGCAAAATAGTGTGTTTGCACATGCCACAACAGTTTCATATGACAGCTGTATAGATCACATAATGTCTGCATATAGCAGATAGTTCAGAATTAGGAGATTCATTTGTTTTATTATATTTTTAGCCTAAAACTCATAATATCAGAAACTGCAATAGTTGAAGTCAGAAATGGCAACAAGAGGTCCTTTGATCAACAATGAAAGGCAACAAGGCACAATATGTAGTTTTAAATCTTGTATCTGTAGATTACTTTTTAAAAGCTCTTAACAAGCAGTAGACAGTAATAGTTCTCTGTGAACAGTGTGCAACATTACAGGATTTTAAAAATGGAAAAAAGCAGAATTACAAAAAAAAAATTTCTGGCAGTATGTTACACATTTCAATTAAAGTTACTTATTCTTACCTATTTATGATTTCCAAAGATTCTTCTTGTGGAGAGGTTAAATTAGTTGAAGATACTGGAATGCGTACACTTTAAATCGGAATAAAATATACTGGTTTAAGTACTGCATTACATATATTCTCTGGTATACAAAAGTGCTAATTTATTCCCGTAATTCAAACTTTATACAACTAAGTAGCGTAAAATCCCATGGCAAACACTGCTTTCACAACTACCCAAAACTTCTTGCAAAGCCAAGAAGAGGCAAGATAAGATGCCAACAGTTAAGCAGATTAAATAATACAGATTTAGGACAATCCACACGAAAAACCAGAAACAAAGTCTTGCCTGATTTCCATGGCTTTCTGTGGCACTGGAGGGAGCAGAGCTGGTGACAATTCTCCTGAAGAGCCCTATGTAAAGTATAAGAGTTTCAAGCCTGTAACTCTACTGCCTGATTCTGAATCTATCATGCCTATACCAAGAAGTACAAAAATTCAGCCAGGGCCAAACCCTCATTTGCATTATTTTAGCTACTACAGAGAAACCAATAGAAACAAATAATATATACAGCAGAACTGGCTTCTAAAACATCGTTACTAAGTACCTCCGTTTTAAATAATTCTCCTTGAAGATTATTCAAAAGATTCCACTTCCTCAAAGTTGTCTCAAGTTCCTCTTCACTGCCACCAGAGACAGAAGACCCTGTGAGCATTAAAGATTAGAAGTAGAAAGGGAGAGAAACAGACAAAAAACCTCAAACCATTTAGGGCCATATCAGACAGTCTAAATACTTAAGTCTCTCAATTCCCCTTCAGTCTTTATCTCATGCACGTGCCTTACCAGCCTCTCTGCTCCCCACCCCTCCTTTGGGCTCTGACTTACACGCAAGCCAACCTCCAGCAGAGCAACAATTTTACCCCTTCTAGTTATATTCTGTGCTCTGCTTGTGACACAGCTTCTGGACCACTCAACTTCATAGTTTGATGTCCTGAGGCAAGTTCAAGTCGGTACAGTTTTTTTACTTGCAGTGTATTCTTTATAGGTGGTATGCCTATTTGACATCAGCTGTGTCACAATGCAGTGCCCCATGCTCAGTTCAAGGAGGAACATGGTAAACACGCTTCAGGTTTTCTGGATATCCCTGATCTAAACAAATACTGAAATACTCCAGATTCATTATTTTGTAAGATTTTTATTCCTAAATTGTCAAAACTGCAATACTAATTCTGACTAATTACTACTCAGCAAACTTCTGGAGTATTTTTGGTAAGACATTTTATTCTTGAGATCTCCTATGCATAGGGTTGCAAACAGGATGCAGAAGGGCTGTTATGCCATGAAGCAGAAATTTAGACTGGCCTTCAAGTACATTAATAATTCCTGATCTGTACGACAGAGGTGCAGGCAGCTCTAGGCAGTTATGAAAAAAAACACCAGATCTTACGGTTAAGCCCTGTCACTATTAGAAGAGAGATCCCTTGAAAACTCATTAGACATGAGCTTGGCTACCATGCTGCTCAGCCACAAAGACTGCCGGCAAACCTGCTGCTGACCTTTGGCCCTTCAGGATATGAATGGAAACTTATGCTATGGCTGCTGGCACACAGCCCTTCAGTTAGCACAAAAGAGCTACCTATAGTTGAGTTCAGGGTAACTCCTTTACACTTTACTCAACTGTCAGTGGCTCTTTCAAGCAGCTGCCCTACTTTAATCCAAAATAGATCTCTGGTTTTTTAAAGTATGTGCTACCTACGGTGAAGAGTCAGGCATCTTTTGTCAACACGATTTGTAGCTTGCCTTAAGCAGAAATAAACGCTTACAATATATTGTGTCTCTGGCAAGTAATTATTTGAAGCAGTTATCAGAGACAGATTTCAACCCACTGATTCTACCAAAAGTTTTTAAGCAGAGATTACACTTCAGAGGGAACCTTTAAAACACACCTCCAGAAATAAAAAAAAAAAATAATCGAGGGAGGTATTTCTTGGCAACCTAAACATGAGACTCCCACAAATACAGGTAAGGTAACAAGCTCATTTGGGCTGTGAATAATATTGTAGCCATTACAGTATGCACCTCAGTGTGGACAATCTCAGTGTACACTCTGGTTCCTATACAGGTTTTGGGGTTTGTTTTTATTATGCTGAGCATCACTGTTTTTTTATTTACACTGTACTGAACGCCTATACTAGCATACGTTAACTGCAGCACCACCTCAGTCATGCGGAGCATCATGGCTTGCTCCTTCTTTATGCACACAAGTGTCCTCCAAAACCCATGTCCCACAGCAGGACAGTGCACTCCGATCTGTACAGCTGGGGTGTGGCCAAGGAGTGGAACTGTGGGAGGTTACTGTTAAAAGCACTTACTCTCAAGGTAACAGTGGTGTAGCTATCTTGGGAGTTAATATGTCTCCAAAAGCTACAATCACAGCTTTGGTCTTCCTTTCAGAACATTTTCAAGTGAGAGACTCTTTTTTTTTCTTTTTTTTTTTTTTTTTCAAATGAACATTGAGAGAAAGATTTATGTGTCTCTTGTCCCTTACTCTTGTGTGTTAAATACAAGTTTCCATTCTGTCATACAAGACCTGAAAACACTGTGTTTGTTAGTGTGATGATGATGCATGTTGAACAAAACTGTCCTTTCAGAAGGTCAAGTTTCCCAGAGTAAATTTAGTACTGAAAACTAAGGTAGCAACCTGAAATGAGATTGTCCTAAACCCCACTCCACTTCCTGCAGTGTAACTGAGATATGGGACAAAGATGTTTTTTCTCCAGATTTTGGAGTTAAATATATAATGTGTGCACCAAAGCAACCATGGGGTTTCAGTTGTTCCCTCCAAACCATAACTTGCCTAGGCAGCTGTTAGGATTTTTCTTAGTGGAAGGGAAGGGCAACAGAATTTACTACATTCATTGCAACTCTCTAGCAAAAAAGAGAAGTCCTGCTAACAGTATTAAATTGCACCTGAGATCGGATTCCCTATTATTAATGCCACATAAAAAACATGAAATGAAAGGATAACATTGTGTCATTAATACTAGCTGGCTGCCAGCTGATCATTACCACCATTCCTGAATTGAACTGTGGTGTAGGAAATCTGAGTATAGGATATATTTAATTAATTAATGTTCATAATCCACTAAGATATCCTGATGACATTTTACATTGTAAAAACTCGTTACTCATAATGTAATGGTCACAAGAAACACCATACAAACTTAATACCTATCTGTATTCATCTACAGATGAATTAATTTAAATAAAACTGAATGTCATTTTAATTTTGAATAATAGATTCTTGAGCGGGATTTAATGCAATTTAATAAGAATACTGTAAGTGCACGCCTTTAGTTAACTTGAATGAACTTTCCTAATTGCCCCCGTGTTGACAAATTCTATGTCTGCATGAGTGTCCTGCTGTTTGCTCCCTCCTTTTCACCCTTTTTGCTGTAATTCCTTTTGGTCTGGCCTCTACAACCCACGTACAACTCAGGGGACGGCAACAAGCAGCAGCGAAACAGAAAGTATGAAGGGTTGGCCATGAAGGACGTGTGTCACAGGCCTGCCCTGTGGGAGAGACTTACAGGAGTCCCATCCGTGAGGAGGGACAGGACTGCAGGGAGCGGCTGCTGAAACCCTGGCCCCAGCTGCCCACCCAGCCACCGCTACCTGGCTGTAGGAGCGCTGCAGCCAGAGCTCTGGCCTGTTGCAGTATGTGGGAAGGTGTTTTAAGGAGAGCAGTTGCTGACTCCAGATTGCCTTGGCACATAAGGAGATAAATTGCAGTGCTCCACACCGAACTGAGAGCAGTTCACACAGCTGTACAACCAGAGCAGTCACCTCGTCAGTCATCTGTCCAGATTAATCAGAATCCTTAATGGCACCATCTAAACCAACATATAGCACCAAAACAGGCTCCAAGGAGGGATTTACTATTAACCGATGTAGAACAAATCTTAGGTTATGGCTTTCAGAGTTGAACAAAAGATTCAGTCACAGAAGTCTGGCTGAATCGACCTTATATTGTTTTTTTGTACTGCCTACAGCATAGGAAACAAAAAGGAAATCTCCACAAACTGCAGGCAGTAACATGCAAGTCTGGTCAAGACATACTGTGGTTCTCTTTGTATCTGAAAGAGGGTATACTTACTCTCTTAGCACTCCAACATGATACAAATATATGCATAATATAAATTACTATACACATATATTTAAAATGGCAACAAATAGCAGTTGCAGTGCATGAAGTTTTTAGATGACCTGATACCAGGAAAATATTCACAAGATTTACCGTGAGCTGCAATCACTATCTCTTTGACTCTCCTGTACTGGCTTAGCAGTAGTGTTAACTCCTCTATTCGACGGTCCTGTGAAGAGCATTGAATAAAATAATATTTAAAATCCTACATTTTTAACCTGCAGAAACACTCTATTACACACTCATTCCTGTGATCTTGGCCTGCTTTTCCAGAAAGCAGGATCAAGTCTCTCACATGCCTTGTAAGGAACTTTTCTTGGATTTTATTTGCCATTATACATAATAATTGCTGGACAGTGTCAAATTACAGATATAAGAAAACCAGAGGAGTTTGATGTTACTAGTAAATTAGTTATTTACAGAAGCATAATTTGGAAATCTACTTTCATTTCTAAGAGTCAAGGGAATATTCTGGAGTTGAACCTCAATTGCCTGAAGTGGGCAGTATTTGTTTTTTTGCTAGCATCGTACCTCTGATTGTAAAGTAAATCATGTTTATGTTTTGTATAGGTTAACAATCTAGTCATGGTCTTTAATCTTCTCTTGTAGGATATGTTCTGCATTCCAACATCTATGCTTACTCCAGTTCTGAACACACCTTTTTGAACTCAGGCAGTCAAACCTGTACAGAACCACAGAAATGGTCTCATGAACGTCTGATGCATTAGCTGACTCTGCTCTTTCCCCAGTACCTAACGCTCTCCTATTGTGTACGGAGAGCATCTTGATTCATGTATTCAGGGAGGGCACTTGCCTTTTGCATAGACACAACACAGCGATGGGTAGTAATCATTATTTGATTGGTTCTATCACTTCTCCTGTTTCTAGGTATGATATTGTGTCCCCGATTATAATAAATTCTTGCTATCGGTCACTAAGCATGCGATCTTGCAGTTTGGACTCTTATGGTTTGTCCTGTTTCTTTGATCCCAGTTCTAAACCATTCCTGTGTGATCATCTTACCCAGTGCTGTGACTACAGAGCACTGAATACAAACCAAGCAAGTATTAAAGAACTAGTTTTCACAAGCAGGTGCCAGGAAAGCCACAGAAGCACAAAAGTGGGCACTGGGGGAAAAAAAAAAATAAAGTCCTTCGAGGGAAGTTGTCAAATATTAAGTGATTAGCTGGTACAAAGCTGCTGCATTGGCATAGCTAGGTCAGAGATGTTTCAATTAAAACCTGCTCCAGTACACACATGCTGCATTACAGTCACAGCAGATATCGACTGAGTTGTAGGAGTAACTGCACAGAAACCAGACCTTTACCACGTTACAGAATGGTAGATGATGCTGATCATCCCTTCACGCTTCAGCAAGCTTACACGAGACAAGGGAGGCCTAAACCAGACACCCGGTTATCCCAACTATGGATAGAAGCAATAGGTTGTTCTTCATAGCAAAGAACTGAGACTAACATACCCAGGTTTTAAAAAAAGAAGTATGCGTACCACTTACTAGCAACTTAATTGAGCACTTCCTGTCCTAAATGACACAAGGACTATTCAGTTATCCCAAAAGCTATTCAGAGCTATTTTACCTCAGGAACAATAATTTATTTTGCAGTAATATTGAAGGTAGCATTAAACATTTAAGAAGCTGTGGGTAAACCATCAGTCCACTCGTTTAAACACTACAGTTTACAAGGAAATAACCCTCCTTTCCCTGTAAATATATCCAGATATTAGGACATAAGCAACAGTATTTTGTGCTCCCTTCAAATGCAAAAATTTACGCAGACTTGGAATAATCTGGGCAAGAGATAATGCCACATCTTTTATTTTCCAGATGTAAGTGTTGGCTTTTTGATTTTTTTTAAGAACTAAATGTTATTATAAGTCACATTGATGTTCTCCAGAATTAACACTGCCCTGTCCAGATCCCTCACTTAACTAAAGGAAGTTTTTGGGGTTGTATATTATTGTCTATTTGATCATATACGAGTGTGTCACCATAAAGGAAACTCCTATGGCCTGTTTTATTATCATAAAACAAGAATTAAAATTTCTTCAACAATTAATCCCCCCACCCCCAAAATCAGTAACAATTTATATAGTAAGTCAATGGCATCCGGAGGTGGAAGATTCAACACCCTCCAATACTGAACCCTAAAACCTGCACTTGAATTGTGCAGTTGACAGGCAAACAGCATACAGGTGATAAGAGATAAAAAACATGTTTACCATTTAAATGGGTTTAATTTCACTCATCCTCTTCATTAGGTTTTTTTTGTTTGTTTGTTTTTTGTTTGTTTGTTTTTTTTTTTTTTGTTTTTGTTTTTTTAACCCCTTGTCTCTTTAAATCCTGGTCCCTTTCTCCTCAAATTTGAGTCTGATTCAAAGGCCATTGTGACTTTCTTTTAATATCACAATCTAAACTGGGGATATCAATGCAGTTCAGATTAGGTTGGAAGATGAAGAGCTGCCAGAAATGACCAAACCTTAGTGATCTTTTCAATAGCCAAAAGCAGGAGATTCTGCTCATTACAGCCTTGGCTTTCTACTCTCCTCTGGAATCTAATGAGCCTCCTAAATTCTGCAGCCAGGTTAGCAAGGTCAGTCACACATTCTATTTAAAAAATCAACCTTCTGTCACAGTCTCATGGCATAATCAAAAAATCAGGGCAATACCACACTTACAAAAACCATTTCAGAGATTCAACCCCATTATTTCATCCTTATGTAGAACGAGGATTATTTTCTCACCTTTTCTTCATTTGCAGCCAATAATGACTCCATTCCTATCTTCAACCGTTGAACTTCTTGATCTAAAAATGTTTTTAAAATGTTATAAGGAAAATAAACTTCCTATATTTAGTGTAAATAATATATGTTTTGTGATACTCTCCTTACGTTCTTATGAATAACCAAAACCATGTCAATGGCATGGCAAATGCACTATTCAACTACATTTAACTTGGAGCTTTTCAAAAGCTGAACTATTAAAAGAATCACACCACACAAACATGCTGGGTTTGCTTATAAAAGGCTAAATAATACTATTTTATACTCTAAAAGTCAAGTATTGAAAAAAAAGAAACATCGAATCTTCTTTCCAAAAGATGAGAGTGTGTTTGCTGTCATGTATTTAGTGAAATAATTTTAAGTATGATTGAAAATTAATTATTTTCTATCTGAGAAAAATATTTGCCAGCTTATGAGAAGTACTTCAAGGACATTCGTGAAACTTCAAAATGAAAAATAACAAAGCCTGTTTTGATATGAGGAAAATCTGTAATTTCTTTTTTGTTTTTTCTTAAAACATTTCAGTATGAATAACTAGTTAAAATCTACATGAAGAGCTAATACAGAATTGCCTCACACACAATTTAGTGTTATAGGATAGAGATTATACAGGAATGCTATAATCAAATCAATTAAAACACACTCTCTGAAAATTTACCAGGTTGTTAAACATCTCATCCTAACTTGGCTTAACCAAATCTTTCACTTCTTCTCTACACGCTATTATTCCTAACAAGTCCTCCAGTACCAGCCTATACTAAATCAAGTGCAGGTGATAGAGACAGAACCTGAAATAGTTTATCTGTTGTAACTGCCACTCAAGGAATTCATGCTTTGACATTAAAACATACCCGCCTGTTTCACAAAAGACTGTGAAAAACACAGGCATGAAATGAGAGAGAAGAAAGAAAATCAATACTGCTAAAAAATCTTTTAAAAAAACGGTTTACAACTAAATGTTGAACATACAATGTCATATCTAAGCTATTTGCAAAAACTAATTATTTTTCTTGTAGTGATTCTGAAAAATACACACCTTGTAATGATTAAGTTTTCAAACATGTCAATGAACCTTGCAAACACACTTAGTAGCACCAAGGCATGCACAGAGACAGCCAAATCAAAAACTAAAACCCAGCAGGCAGTGGGCAAGCAATTGGAAGATTTTAAAAAAGCCATTAAAAATCGCAGTCCTACTAATTTCTCTTCATAAATATCAGACTTCAAAAAGAACTGGTGTCAAGGTATTTTTAAGCACATTAAAAAAAAACTTTACTTACAATACTTATAACAACATCAAGTATAGAAACTTTTATTTTCAGACTGGATTTTTTAATTTACTGCACTGATTAAAAACAACCAAATCCTTCCCCTCCAAGGAAGGACGCTTTCAATTAAAGCCATCTTTCCAGATATTATATGGGTTTTACACACGTAGAAATAAAAAGAGGTAAAGGTTAAGTTCTGGCTCTGTTAACCTTGACAATGTCCGTTTGAAGTCCAACTATCTGACTTGTGAGCCTCTGACTTTTTTTCTGATATGAAATCTTACTAAACAGGGCAAGTAGCTGTCTGCTTGCTGCAAGCAGTGAAAGCAAGGTCTCATGTATATTACAATTACACAGCCAAATCTAAACAAACATTGAATTATTGCTGCAGAGCGCATCTGAGTTATAATTTGTGTGAAAGAACAGTGAGATAAAGCCAAAAGGGAATTGCAAGGCTTACGTTTTTCTTTTAGCCTTCTCCTATAAACTTCCTCTACGATGGTAAATGGTGAGAGTCACAATAAAGTATGTAGAAAAAGCACACATTAGATAAATCTTGCAATTTAATTAGAATATGCATTCTAGCATACTATAAGTACATTGACATTATTTTTCAACTTTATTTGAGAAGACCACCTAAAAATCTGGTAAATCAGTAATTTTTTTTCAGATGAATTATTACTGCATACCGTTTCCATTCAAATATAGTCTAAGTGGTTTCCTTAAATGTAGCCTGAAAAAAATCTGTACAGGGTTTGATTCTTCTTCCACTGGAATCAAGGACAAAACAGACACATTACTAGTTGAACATTGCTGAGCTCTTGATTTATTGTCATACCACTATCTTTCATTTGAAGTATCATAAATTATTTGGGAATCTCATAGAAAATACAAAATTCTATTAGAAGTGTTTATCTACAAACCACTGCTGTTAGACAAACTAATTTTCTAGTTAGACATGCAGTTCTCTACATGCACAAGCTCTGTAGCTGAGTGAAATCAGAACCGAGTATATGTTAAGTCACTTTGCTGGAGTAAACAACAGTCAAAATACAGTATTCTAGAAAAAACACATCTGCATTAATTTATGTAAGAAGATTCTTGGTAAGCCCTGAGGAAGAGGTAGCACAGCACTTGAAAACTCACATCTCAACAAGTGCACTCTTTGGAAGCGTTAGTTAACATCCACAAAAGAAGTTAGTGCAGCTAAGCTGATGCGCTGTGGTAAACTACAGACAAATGGTTCCTGCATGGATAAGGGTCAGTATTATAGAAGAAAATGGTCACTAATATCATACTGCTCACAGCCCAGCAATTGACAGAAGCTCCAAGGAGTCAATATGTCAGAGAACTGTGACATGACTGGTTGAGAGCAAAAGCTAAACAAACTGGTTTATTTGCCATTGGCCTGTACCAACAGTGCAGATTTACAACAAAACCCTGCGATATCATAGAATCATAGAACAGCCCAGGCTGGAAGGGACTTTGAAAGACCATCTGGTCCAACCTTTCACGTGAGAGGGAGCCTAAATGAGATATAGTCCCGAAGAAAGGAAAGATGTGAATCTATGAATATGGTTTACAATGTTTAGACATTTAAACATTGTGCTTAGCTACTACTGTGACAATTTTAATTTTTTCTTAAAAAATGGAAGCTGTAAAGATTTTTCAGAGAAATTTTGAAAGTATACACAAAAGCTCATATTCCCACTGAACTACAATGACTCTCTCAAATTATAAATAAAATTTCAGTAGAAAAAATTTCAGTGCCCTGAGGACATTTATTGTAGTTTGTGCTACCTCTAGATTGGTATATGACTTTACACATTAAAAGCCTCTACCAGGAGACAAAATAAATTTGCACCATTTTGCCTCCCAAAATATATTCTATAAATCCATTCTTGTATCTCCTAGTATTCCTTTGAAATACTGAGCCAAGCTGCTACCAAAGTGAAGTTAAAGTAGGATTTTGGATTTTTAATTTTATTTCCCCTCCTCTTACCTCTTTCTGCCACTTCACTATGTGATGAGGTCCGAGATAGCTGACTTTGTAAGCGTTCTATTTCTGCATCTTTGAGAGCTAACTGCTCTTGAAGCTGGGCTATCTCAGCCTGAAAGAGAATACAATAAATTCAGAATAACATAGTCACCGATTCTCTGGGATTCTTTCCCATGAAATAGAAGACTTCTAAGCTTAACACTTTGCTTTGATGGATGTCTTGTTCCCAGTTCAGGACATTTCATAAACACTATGACAACCATACATATTTCATGCTGTTACTATCCTATTCCTTTTACAGACACTCACTTTTTCTAATGCAATTAGCTCTCAGAGAAGAAAGACTTACAGAAAGGTACGAATTTCAAGAATTCATGTAGGTATAGAAACTCTGGAAAGCTGTCAGTGCTACAATGCTGGTTGTATAATAATGACTATTATAAGGCAACTCCTGAGTTTTGCATAAAGATCACTAAAAGATAACAAAGAATTTTTTAAAAGATACTGGTTTTTTATCCTAGTTACTACTTATTAATATAACTGAGAATCTACTAATGCTGAGCCCTCTTAGCAGAATAACAAAGCTGTTCTTCCTCACAGTAGATACTACAGCAAATAGGCTAGAAGCAAAGCATAGCTTGGAAAACAACCACATATATGCAACAAAATAGCAGTTGTTTATTTACACTAACTGCAATTTGTGCTGCCACTGGATTGGGATAGAATATGACACATTAAAGGCCTCAGCAATACAGAGAGAGAAGAATTCTGTAATCATCCAGCTTGAAATAGTGACTCATCTCTTTTTCCTATTTATGAGAAAAGCTGTCAACAGCATACTTTACTAAGTCAGTAGCTTCATTAAGATTTTCTTAAAGACTCCATGTATCAAAATTCTGCATTTCCCCCAGCAAAAGTGTACCAAACCTCCTTGCAGTTAATGGAACTAAAAAAAAAAAAAAAAAAAAAAAAGAAACAAACAGAAAAAACATTTATGCCACCCGTTTCTCAAAATACTGAAACAAAGCAGGAAAAAAAGCAAAACACCAAACAACATTATCCAAACATGGAAAAACATGGACTAATTAATATACAAACTTATTTTCACCTGGAAGCAAGCAGCTGAATGGCAGCAAAAGATCACCACTCTGCCTGCTATTCCATATGGAATAGAAGAATCTGCCTTGTTGCATCTCTGACAGGCTCCTACACTTCCCAGTGACAAATATCCAGCTATGAAAATATCCCAATTTCTCATCTAAGAAGCTGGTGCAACAGGAAGACAAAAGCTGCAGACCTCTTAATACCAGATTTGGATTGCCTCCCCTGGTCTATTTGATCTTATGATTCTTTGAAATGACCTCTTTTCCTTTAATGTCTTACTCCTGCCATTGCTACAATTATTTTTCTGCTTCCTCTCTCTTTTCCTGTACTTTTCTTCCTTTCTAGTCTTGCATATTCTCTCACTCAATGGGTTTTACAATTTTCTTTCTTATTTTCATTGTGCTCCTACACTTTCCATAATCTTTATCTGTCTTGGCAGCTGGCCACACAGTGCTTGAGAAAATATTTTCCCAAAGACTGTTCATATCCACCATGTCAGAAAAAACATTTTCATGGATACAAGAGGTATTATCTTCATAGAAAAAAAGACAAGATAGCAACATTTCAACATTCATCTAAGAATTCTCAAAAGAACCAAATGCTAATACAAATAACAGTCATCTGTTATTTTGGGATGAAGCTATCAAGTATTAAAAAAAGCCCTCAGTTTAATAATTTGAAATGTTTTTCCAAGATCCAACCCCAAATCAAAAAAGTCAGTCATTCATATGAACAGAGATTATAGTACTACACAAGTGAAAGGAGATGCAATTACAGCACAAAAGTGTACCTCAACAGGGAAAGATAATAAGGTGGTTTTTAATCTAGCAGAAAAAGGCTAAAAATTCTATAAACTAAAAACTAGAAATAAAATGCAACTGTTTAACAATGAGAATGTTCAGCTAGAAAAATTAATTGCTCTGGAAAATGATGAAATGTTTCAAATGTTGAGTTTTTCCAGATTATGATTCAACAGCTTTCCAGGATTTAAGGTCAACAGAAGGGTAAGGCAGATATGCACTTTGATATACACAAAGTGAAAGCAGATGATCTAATGGTGTATTTTGGGATTAATGTCTATTAAAATAAATTCCATAATAAGCGAACACCCAACCAACTTTGCATGTCAATTCAGTCTGGAAAGCATATTCCACAGGGGCTTGTCACCATTATACAAACAAAAGACAGAAAACCTTCAAAGAAGCCATTCCTCAGAACAGGACTTTTGTAAGTCAAAATGCCTTTTTTGTTTGTTTGGTTGGTTTTTGTTTTCAATAAGAATTACAAAATGGTATAAGACTGGAAACTGCAGGGAGGGAGCAAAAGGCACAAAAAGAAGCTACAAAACCTTTAAATCAAAATACTTATCCCAAAGGTGGTGGAAGAAAACTTGACTTTATAGTAGGCCCTGACATAAGGCAACTGTAAGTAAAGTAAATACGGATGAGTAGTGGAGTGTATCCCTCTCCAGCTGAAATAAGTCTGTCATTAGTAAATGCCAAGTATTCTGCTTACTTTAGTTGCTTTTAATTTCCATTCGTATTGATTTCTTTCATTTTCCAGTTCTTCCACTTTAATTTTGAGGTGTTTAAGTTCCTGTAGCAAACCCTGCAAAGGAAGAACAGCACCTAAAAGTAAAATTTCTCTGGTAGATATTAATTTTTCATAGTCCTGAATTAAAGATCATGCATGAACCACACAGTAATGAACACTGAAGCACCACATTAACAAATATGACCTAGCCTAAGATGACAAAAAATATTTTTAATTGAGAGATTAGGAGTATTTTCCTCAAACTCTCCACTTGAAATTATGAACCAATTTCTTAGTCATATTAAGGAAGACAGCTGAACCTTGTGAAGTCATGTGTGTCTCAGTGAAAATGAGCCAAAAAAATCCACAACTGCAGTCTCATATAACATATATTGGGGTTTTTTTTGTGGGAGAGAGTAGGGCGCTGGGGGTGTTGTGGCTTTCTTTTAGATTTTTTGTTTTGCTTTTCAGCCACCTCAGAAAGTAAGCAGAAAGATGCAGTGCTAAAATATTACTAACTTTCATTAAAGTCTCCCCAAACAGGTGTTTACACTACTTACCAAGAAAAATAACACTCGGACTAAATAGTGTCTAGCAAGTTACAGGCATTTAATACCAAACATGTACAGTCACATACAACTACAGTTATGCTACTTTCAGCATTGGTGTTTGCCACTCTGCAAACTGAGCTGATGCAGCCTAGAGCTGCAGCCAGCCAGGGTTCCAAACTTTCTTTGTCTATTCCTCTGACAAAGTTGTCTTTTAAATGTCCCTTCTACCTTTCCTTGATTGAACTGTTCATCTTACAGTTCATTCTGAAGGACAATATTATTAAATCCATGATGGAGCTCTGATGAGACCAAATGTCTTAAAATACACAGGAAAGAAAAAATTTGGAAGAGTAACCCAATTTTGGAATTAAACCCAATTTCTTAGATTAAAATGAATGTTTAATTTAAATGACTCCCATATTTGAATCTCAGATTATTTCTCAAATATGCAGCTTGTACTGTAGTCTAATAGTTCACTAAGCTCAGAAACAATTGCACTATTTTCAGAATAGGCATCATACCCAAACGAGTTATTTTTGTAAAATAAACCTATGAGAAAAATTACTGAAAAACTCCCTCAACGGTATAAGCAGATTACTTAAAATTCTGGGCATCCAAATTTTAACCAAAGAGATATAGCAAGTAAAGCAAACCAATTTAAAAGCAAATATTAAAATGGACTTTTCCAGGCATATCAATATCATTTTACCTTCAGTAAATTTAAGCAGTTTATGCAAAGTGGCTTTTGTTTTGACATGTGAAATGCTTTTGATCAAATACAGCTAGGATCTGTAATATAAATTAAAAATGCTTTTCTGGTAACTACTCATGTCTGAGAATAAAAAAAATGTGTTGGATTTGCTATTTTAAAGGTACAAGCAGATTAGTTTTATTATGGCTCTTTTAATTTAACTTTAACATTATCATTAGAAAAAGAAAGGATACATTTCAGGTAGTCTTACCTGAAACTGTATTTTACACTTGTGTTAAACTTTTAAAATATTCAGGAATTAAAAATCTGTGTTCAGAGGACTGGTTAGGGTGTACCATCATGCACAGTTAGGGTGACATTATCTTGAGGAAAATTAGCAAACTGCCAAACCGTGCTAGCATGCTGCATATCAAACAGACAAATCACTAAGGAAAAAAACAAAAACAAACCCAAAAATCAAAAAAACCCCCCACCACAACAGCACCACAGACCTACAGGTAAAATGAAAATCATAAAAAACCTGGAAAAGGTGATTGGGTCTTACAGATATCTGTGCTTTAGTAGACAGACATCAGTGGTGATCAAATTTGTCCCAGTAACCGTGGGTGAGGGTGGGGTGTCTGGGGTGGGGTTTTTTTTGGTAATTTTTATGACCACCTCACTCTACTAATGAAAGCCACAAAGATTAATGCCAGTAATTCACAACATAGCTCTGGTTAGTGGAATTTAGTTTCTGCAAGAGAAGAGAAGAGGCAATACACAGGCTTCTGCTAAGGTGTACTTCTCGTACATCACACCGAGAACAATTCTTCTGGCTGAGAGTCTCTACCACTGATGTTGGACTAGATTGAGGACCATTAGGTGTCAAGTCTGGTTTCCTATCTTGAGACTTTCTTTCTTGGATTCTACTATTAATTTCCAGCTGCAGTCTACACATCTGCTCCTGTAGCTCACTGATCAGGTTCACTACTGACTGAAAACATGGGAAGAAAGGACAAAAAGACAAAAATAAAAGACAGGTGAGAAAGAAAATGATACAAAGAAGGTATTTCTACAGCCACAGAACAAAGAAATATATGGAGTACATCAAAGATAAACTAAAAAAAAATTATGTGTTTCCCCTCTGATAAAGTATGTGTTAATGGGTATAAATTTGAAATATTGCACAAAGCTACAGTTTAAATAGAAGAGAATCTGTAGTCCAGACTAATTAATGAATCTGATTCTAATGTGAAGGTCAGAATTTGGCCCCCATTTTTGGAAACTTACACAGCCACATGAAGTCAGGTATCAGGAAAAACAGGAATGTATTTTAATATGCTGGCTCAGAGGCACACCTTTGCTGAAACGGGTCTTGATTACATTCATTCACACAGCAAAATCATCCATTTGGAAGAAATCATTAAGTGCTCAGTTGAGGCCATAACCTACTCTTTGACAATTTATACACAGAATTTACTAGTAAAGTAATTCTGTTTCCATGTCTACAACGGGTCAGAAAAATAACTCCATTACCTAGGTGACTAGTTAGACAGTATATGGACACAGAGAAAGAATTAAGCAACATAGAAAGGAGAAATCAAAGGATACCACAGAAGAAAAAGTAAGGACTTTGAAGTGCGTTGATTTACTGGTCAGCTTCTTGGATTTGTGTGTATCAGTGATACACACAAAAATATCCAGCTACAGAAAGCAAACCAAAGACAAGTATTAAAGTCTATATAAGATTTCATACAAATTCCCTAAATCGGTAGCAAATATTGCTGTGTTTTAGCTCAGATATTACAAGCTTGAAGTGTTTTTCTCTTAATTTTCATGTACATGAAATACATATGTTTTGTGATTTCTTCTCATGTGGAATAAATTTGATGAGATTAGTCCATCTTCCAAAGGAGTAGAAAAGATTTTAGTGGACAGAACAACAAATGACCTAGCTTTTTTTTTTTTTTTTTTTTTATTTTCTTCATTACAATGCACAACAGTCCTCCTGTAATGTCAACTCTGGTGAACCAATAATCTCAAAGTTAGGGAACAGCTGCTGCAAGGACAGGACATTATTCTGACTAAGTAAGTATTTAACATGACCAATCTCAAACTGCACCAGTATCCACAAAGATTACCTTTCAAAAGTGTATGTATCAGTTCGGTAAAAGAGTTGCACATCAATTAAGTATTCTTATAGGGCACTGTGCTTAAAATGAAATTCAGAAAAGCAGTTGCATATATTTAACTTTATACATATTATTCACAATCAGGATCACAATGTCTGATGCCCATTCTCTTCCATCCAACAAACCTTTAATACATGTAAATGAGGATTAGTTCCATAAACAAGCAAAAAATTTAGCAAGAATACTGGGTCCTAGCATACCAACTCTGCAATATCCAGTCTTTTATAGGCTGACATGTTCTGCTAGGGCTGTACAGGTTACAAAAAGCTCCCCTAGGTGAAACCATATCTTTTGTATGTTCAGTAGCTACATTAACCACTTTGCAGCAACACAGTATAACACTAGTGAGGGGAATATCCCCCCAGCTAACTCATCCTCTTATCAGAGCACTGCAAAGCAGAACACCCATAGTACTAGCTGTATCTACAATTTACATACTATCCACAACCCTTCCACCTTCCATGCTTTGTTTTTTTGTTGTTGGATTTTTTTTTTTACCATCACCTCCACAATGATACCTCATTAAGCAGTACCAACTACAGATTGGAATTGTCAGGACATGCATCCACCTCCCTTGCTTTCTTTTTTACTCTGTGCTCATCTTTGATGGAGAACACTGTTAACCCATGGAAGGTTCAGAAGAACCACTGCTCAAACAAGATGCACAGACTTTTGAATACAAACTGACAGCAGTTCCAGTTGTGGCAATGTGGGAGAGTTCAGAAACACTTCTGCTGCCTTTTTGTAATTTTTTTCTCTTTTGCCTCACATCAAAAATGGGAATGGGAAACACTCTGGCATCCACACAGACTTCCTTCAGGGCAAGTCTGACAGTACAGAAATGGCAGAAATCCTTATCTCAGTGAAGGATAAGAGGTTTATGAAGGAGAAACACATGAATTCCAGCTGCAATACATGCCTTTACAGTTGCTTCTAGTTTCAAGGTAGAAATGGCTTCTTATTTTTGAGATTCTTTCACAGCAGGAAAATGTATTAACACTAATATACTACATCTTGAATTTGATTCAGGTGGGACAACACACCAAACTCCCGAGTGGGAATCAGTGGCTCACTGACTCAAGTTTCTTTGAAATTGCAAGTAACTATGCACTAGAAATTTAATTCAGAAGTGTCCACATAAAAGCCACATAACAATTCCCAACAGCTTATAGCAAACTTCAGATCCTCGGTATGAAAAAGCAAAACCCACAAAACTTATATCCTATGCTAAGAAAGAAGAAGTAGGACATAAGAAGGGCTGTTAAGCAAGTTGAAATGCACAGTTATTTCTGCAGTCTCCTGATAGTGATAGAAGGTCTCTTTCATCCATGTTCAGGTAGAGCAGGCATCTGGGCTGCCGTAAATCACTCGATAATGCTGCTCACTCATACCTTGCTACATTGAGAAAAGATATTTCCAAAATTTCTAAGGCTTCTCAGGTAAGACAAAAGCTACACAGACTCCTTCAGGTGGGATTTCAGAAACCTCCACAGCAGCACTGCAGCAAAAGTAGAACATTATTGCATGAAAAAGGAATTAAAATGACAAAGCCAAGAGTGAGATGGTCCATTTACAAGCAGCTATTCTCGTGACCCCTATGATATCTATATAAATAAATGGCACTTTTAAATTTAGCATGTGCTTTTGAAGAGCCAGAGATAAGTGGCATTCAGTGTGAAATTAATACCTTTGAGAGGAGGTTAGAGATGCTTGATAAACTCTTTGCTGCTAACTAAAACCAAAACTAAACCACAGCTGCACAAGATAAAGCGAAACGAATCTGACAGATTAAAACTTGCTCATATCTGGAAGGATATCTTAATTTGCTTTGCTTCCCCCCAGCCCAACCAGAGAAATAAGTCTATAGATAAATTCTATGTGACTGGAAACAGCTGCTGTGAAATAAGCCAACACAAAATTAGAGTACAGAGCAAACATATTTTAGCTGAATTATTCTGCAATGTCACATTTAATTTAAAACTTTAAAAACCACGATATTATATTTAGAAATGGCAGGGTCATCCATGAAGTATAATTAGCAAACTGTTTAAAATGGCTTAACTACTGGATGCCTCTGTAACAGATGCACTAGGGTGAAAACTGAGGACTATTACTTCTGATAGTAGCAAATCTATCAAATCACTGTTCTGCTCACCTCTGCCAATCCCAAACTCAGTCTTGAAAGCAGCAGTTGGCCAGCTGCAGTCTATAAGAAAGGCTCTAGCTCTGTCACCCATCACTTTGTTCCAGTTACGTAAAAATACTAACTGCAATTTTATTTGAGGCATTATACACTGCAAGAGCATGCTGTAGTAGCCTCAACATTCAGAGATACAATTACAGCAAGATTAATCCAATTCAGTCACTGTCATTCTGGAGAACTGTCTCACTTTGAAGCAATTAGGTTAACACAACACAATATTCATAAATAAGAGCAAACCAAAGGTAGACTGCATACGTAAGAGTGGTTTAGTCACTGGAAATAGTTAGTCAGGCAGTGGAGGCAAGGAGTTCAGGAAGACACCCAAACTATTACTAAATTTAAGCAGCAGTTGTAGTCTAATAGTATAAAGAAAATACAATAATCAGTTTTATTCTGATGTTTAAAATTGTGTTTGTATTTATAGATTACTAAAATTTACTGTAAAAGGAGCTGAGGGTTAAAGCATTAGAATTCAAGTAAGCACACAATTTAACTGAAAGCAACCTCTGTTTATCTTGACAAATTGGATTAATTCTTATTCAGGACAATCTGAAATAATTTTTAAAATGGCTCAATGAGCAAACCAAAATGCTGTTTATTTCCCACAGCTTTACTTAGAAGACACATATTCCTTGCTGTGTATACACAGGTTTGTGACTTTCAACAGGCCAGAAATCTAATCACATCTTGGGGTAGTTAATAATTCAGAGCTTACTTAACACAATGATTCTCAACTTTTCCATCAGATTAGAATCCTTTTCCATCTCAGCAGAAACGTTTCCTATCACTCAGCAATACAACAAAGGCTTCCAGGCCAATAAAGCTCAACTTTTCCATCCAAGCGACATGCACACCTTGTTGCAGTGGCAGAAGAATTTCACAGGTCATAGCCTCACCCTCATCACAGGCCCAGACATACTGGCTACTTAAAAATCCTGTCAATGCAAATGTACTCAAAAGCTTTGTTGCTTTCTAGGAGTCAGGCTGTGCATGTCCTGTAATAATTTAGGCAGCCTTGTCCTGGTATTTGACATGTAATGGGAAGTGCTGAAGGCCTCAGGGGAAGGTGGCTGCTTGGAGCAGGTTGCCATCTGTAGCAATTAGGCACTGCACAAGAGCAGTTCAGATTTTCAGGTAGTGTGAGGCTGCTTAGGCCTTCTGTACACAAGACACTGACAATTATGGGTGAAAGAGCATAAGAAGGCCACAGATGGTAAAAACAGCAGCTGGTGCCTCTGTGGCTGGCAACCTCTGCCAGAAATTGCTCTCTTTAAGCTATCTTTTAATCTCTAAAGAAAACTTCAGAGGATAAATAAGTCAAAAACCAAACACACCCCAAATATATTATGTCACTGCAGGTAAATTACTTAAGCATAGTTATCAAATATTCCACTAGCAACATTACAGAGAGCAAACAGTTTTCCAACACTGCCTGGATTTCAAATTCTCCCAAGTCAGTGTGGAACATAGTCTTTTTTCAATCAGCAATGTATACATCTTGGAGCTAGTAATGCTCCCTTGCTAGGTAATCCTCTCTTGCTAGTTTGTCCCCTTACAGGGCCACTGAGTAGGGCAACACATAGCAATTCATGAGAATTACTGTCTTCCATAATGACTTTCCTTCCCAGCTCTCACCCGCTCCTCACTGCCATGAAAAATGGATGTTATTCATATGAATCCCTGTTTCATACTCTCTTTCTTAACCAATATGGTAAAAAGCAAAGCATCTTTGATGTCCAGAACTCTCCACATCTGAAGTGTAAGGATTAGAATTGCCTACAATGCATGTAATTTTTTTTTTGCACTATTCATTATGTAACCACAAGGGCAAAGGCTCATTTGAGGAAAAAGCCCTGCCCTTTGTCTTTTCCTCCCAGGTACCATGAAAGCATTAAAAATCAACAAGGATGTTCATCTAAGTGTTTGCAGCACCCCTGATACTACTGATCTTACAGTCTACTCTGCCACATAAACAAGGAAATAGAAGAGCTCTGGTAAGCCTCACATGGTCATGCCAGTCCAGCTTCTGTGGAGAGGAAAGGGTTAAGTGAATACCAGTTGCAATGTATGATTTTGGAAAGGACTTTGTGCCTTGATTAAAGCCAAACAGCAACGTCTGAAATATAATGAGAGAGGGAAAAAGAAACCACATCCCAAAAATGCATAATCATATTCCTCACTGAATTCACAGGATCAATGATACGGACCGTGCTGCAAGAATGCTAATTTCAGCTCAAAAGCTCAGGTGTATGACAGCATAGCATAGACACATGATTAAAAAAAAAAAAAAAAAGAAAACAAGATAATAAAAGAAACTCACCTCAGCTTTGTTCTGTTTCTCTTCATATTCACTCTGTTCCTTTTCCATACCAACCAGCTTAATCTTCAGGTCTGAAACTTCAGCCATTAAATCTAATTTCTGAGTCTCTAGTGATGTTCGACTTAGCAACTCCTGAAAGCAAAGTAGAACATTTTCTCCAGTTATTTATTTGAACACTCATAGAATGCTACATGTTTTATTGGCAGACCCATAGAAAAGTCTCTACTCCAGTGTTTAATGCTTTCAATATGAAAGCAAAATGATTCTCCTCTTCATAAGTCACACTTGCTACTGTTTTACAATGCAGCAAGATAGATCTGATGTAAGCATTTAGTGCAGGCATAAAAAAGTATCTAAAAAATAAATAATGGAGTGATTGTCAAATTCATATGAAAGCAAATTTCTCCCTCTTCACGGCATGTATACCTCAAACTGTTCGAACCGTGTGTTTCTCAAGTTCTGCAGCTATTTTCACCTAAGTGTTCTCCCATGTTAATCACTAAACCATTGTGCCCCCCTCCCTATTTCAACATAATGTGTGGCAGAGTTAATCCCCAGACAAGGCATGAAATCAGAAAACAATACTGAGGCTGAACAAACACAAACCTACATGATACCACATGACACATTACAAAACAGTTCTCTACTTTCAAAAATACTCATCAGACAAAGCTACATTTTAGTGTTACAATGAAACATTTTAGAACTTCTTATATGTTACTCAATAAAGGGTGTACTACAAAATGAGCACCCTAACTAAAAGAGTACCAAAGGCAAGCAACATTTCTGCAGTCAGAAACTTAAAAGTTTACACCACTTAGTACTTGTTAACTTTTGAAGGCTACATACTATGGAGGGAAAGCAGTGAATGAAAAGTGGAATGCCCTAACTGGAGTCTAAAAGGCAATCTCTAAACTGAATAACAGCCTAGAGGAGAAATAAACGGCCATGATTTTTGCTTGCGTGACCCGAGTTTGTTCTTCAGATTGCAGAGAAAGGCATACTTTAGTCAGAGTGATATCCCTGTGTTTAGAAAACATTCAGTATTCATACCTTCATTGCATCTTTCAGTTTTCAAGAAAACCAAAGAAAAAAACTCTTCCAAAATTTAGCAGAGTGTATTTTTTATATATATATACACACACACACATATATATATACATAAAATGTCTCTGTTGGCCTCCATTTTCAAAGAATAAAAAAATCCATTTATGAGTTTAAGCCTTCCTGAAAAATCAATACCTAACTTTCCAAGTGCCTAATTAATCTTTGCAAAAGAACATAGGTTTCTAAGTAGTTAAAGATTTTTATGGCAATTCCTAACTCACATTAATGTCTTGATCACATGAAACACACTGAGAAATCACAGCAGATTCTGCTTTGAATTACACAAAAGTGACTTAACTGAAGTTGCCATAGTTATTCTGCATCTACGTGGATGTTATTGAGCAATCAGAAACTGCCCTGTCCATCATCATTTTCTGATCTCTTCCAAAAACTGTACAATATATTGTAGACAATGGCTTGGAGATAAGGAAGCTACAAGAGTTGTTTTAAAAATTATACAGTTAAAGTTTATTTGGAACCCAAATCTGCTTTACATGTAAATTATTTTAGTCTGGTGGGGAATACTGCCCAAATGAAAAATAGTTCTAAACTTGCATCTGCATTGCAACACCAATTATCTAAGCCACCCACTATTCCCAGTGCCATGCCCATTCCTGCTGACATTGGCAATGATATTTGTGTATGGATGGGAAAATAAACAGAGATGTAGCCTCATGGTTTGTTTTTTTTTCTCTGAATGAAATAAAGCACTAATCTGGAAAAGGTAGTGCACTGACTTTTTTTTTTTTTTATTGAGAAGCTCTAAGAGGCAGTCACTTAATGAAATCTCAGAAGTAGCTGCTTCTACAAAGGTGATTACAAATTACAATTATAGTTAAGAATAACTCCTCCATCTTCCAGAAAAATACTAATTTGCACAAGTTCCAGAAGCACATTCCAGTCCAGAGTGGAATAGGCTTTGTACAGCTGTTAACATAGCAGACTTGTGCAGATTAAGACATAGCTATAAATGAGAACTTTGATATGAAATAAGGCTACTGAATATCAAAAAGGCTAGCAGGATGAGGTCACTTTCACCCCATGGACAGACTCTATTCACTGTTGAACTGAAAAAACATTTAGAATTTTTTTTTTTTTTGACACTGACATGGTATTCCATGATACAACAGGAAGATTTCTTAATAAGGCAAGGAGACATGGCATCCCTCTAGAGATTTTTAACAAAATATCTATCCTTTGAGTGCACCATCTGGCATTACTCCTTACTGTTTTCTATAGACTCTCAAATTACACTTAGTTACACAATGGAGAGTAATACCATGCTCCTCTCATTCTGAATTCAGCAGCTCCATGTGAACACAAAGGCACTACCTGGTAGAAGTGAGCATGAAGGCAGATGATGTTGTTTTATTTTGTTTTTTTTTAATCAACTCAAACAAAATTTGACTTTGCTCTGAAGCTGGAGAATCAGATTCTCATCTAGTGTAAACTGGCATAAAACTTTTGCCTTAAAATAGACAAAATAGCTAACTATCCCTGGTTTGTTTTCAATGGAGCTACACTGATTTAAAACAGCTGACAATTTCTCTTGCATCTACAGAGTCTAACTCCTGCTTTAAAAGAAAATGCTGTTTAAAATAAATGTCCCCTCTTGAAATGGTAACATCTGGAAGCAATTATTTTCATCCTCAAGCAGATGCTCACAGTGAACAGCTCATTAAGAATGTGACCCATTTTGTTAGAGAAATTATAGTGTATTTCAGTGGTATGATGCAACTTGAATCCAGCCAGAATAAATATGCAATTGTAAGAAAAGAAAATACAAATTTATGTTATTGGTTTTAAAGCAAAAGAGATAATATAAGACAGGCAAAATGGTAATTTGGGCTGTAGCAGCTTTAGGATGATCTTAAAGAGCTGAAATATAGAACAGAAATAGAATATATCCTAGAGAATCTTATTCATAAACAAGATACTTGTTTTTACTTTTAAAGTGTACTATAAATATAATTTAATTTCTCAAAGTTTTATGTTAGAAACTCAATTTTTAAGCTATTTCAGAGTAGAAAAATTAGAGACAACTCATACAGAAGCTACAATATGCATGTACCAGACAGATCAATGAACAGCAAACTATTTCCAACCAGAACTGTGTCTTTAAAATTCACACTGTATCCTTTTTAAATATTTAATCATGTCTTTCAATATTGTCAATGAAACTGAAGCACATGCTGTATATCTCACTTTCACATTTTGTTGTCTTGAAAATACATAATTCTTCTAAATTGGCTTATAAAATTTAACAGGACAGAAAATAGCTTAGAAAGAGGACACTACACTTTTCTAGGCTGTCAGCTGCAAGCACAGAAGATTCCAGAGTATTTAGCACTCTACAGAAAACACAATCATGCCATACACTGATTAAGAAACCATAAGTAAGATTTTAGTCAAGTGGGGGAAAAAAACCCCATAGATCCCAGTTTGTACTTGTTCACTGTACAAAACACAACACTCAAAAAATTTCATACTTTTCACCCTTATTAAAATAATTGAGACAGATAGACAGACCAAGCTACCTACCTGGTAAGCAAAATACAGCAAGAACCACTGTTAATGAGGGCTGTACTTTTCAAGTGCTGTGTGTCAGCTGTGGTAGAAATAAGGTATTTGCCTAACCAAAAACACAGCTGAGAGCAATGTACATGTGTAATCACCATGAAATGGTGCAAGTCGGTAGCAAAGAGTGAATTACAGCCCTCCAATTCATCATTTGCCCATTATATGGTTAAGTGAAGGAAAGGACAGAACTTCCTATCGCACTGCCAATTTGAACAGCATATGTCTGAAAAGCAGATTCATGCCTATGTTAACCATAAAATCACAAAGCAGTGTAATGCTCACCTGTATGGATAAGCTGCACAACCAGAGAGCACACTCTGAAACCCTTATGCCTCACAACCAGAGCAGCAGACAGCACACTTCAAAATCTGGAACACTAAACTAGCTGCTGGCAAGAAGTTACTGCATGCTATAAACAAGTGCTGAAATTCATCTAAGATCAGATAACTCAGGCAACTGAAAAGTTGAAGGAATCATCCTTGCAGGCCAGCAAAGCTCCTGAGAGGCAAACAGATACATGCCAGATTTATACCCAGCAACCAAGATAGGATTCTGGCTCCCCTGAGTATAAGACAACTGCAAAACCAGAACAGGTATACACTAAATTAAGTTGAATCAAGTTCCTACTCTCATATAGCTCCTCCCTGCATTCTTTTAAGCCACTGTTTTTTAAGATTCTCCATTATGCCTCACAAAGGGCACTATCTGGCATGCTTTCCTGTGCTCCTCGCACCCAGGAAGAAGCTGGCCATAAACTAACAAGAGAAACAGAAATTCTTTTCTGTTTGCATTCAAGCATTTCAGTTTCTATGTGTATTTTAAGACAGAAAGAATGCTAAAACCAAGTACTTTGTACTTTGCAACAGAATTTACTTGATAGAAGACACAATAATGTTTACACAATGCAACCATCTGACAAGAGTCTCCTGGATTGCTTCTTGCAATTATGTGTCAGAAATAATTTGGAAATTGGAGACACAGGGTCAAACCACATCTTGGTACAGGTCAGGTACAGGAAGACACTGCTAGAAAGATCAGCATTTTGACTGGCAAAGCAAAACGTATGCTGTTATACATTATGCCAGAGCGCTTCAATGGGAACTAGTATCTGTCAAATAAATCAAATGCAGCACTGGAATAGCAAAGAGGTAACTAACTATTCTTACTCATGATAATTACCATAACAAATGCACTTAAAAGAACTGTGGAGGTGAAATCTGTATGTGCAGAAAATTCTTTTTTCAAACTGACTTAACACAGCTGTTAAGATTGACAGCGCAGATTCCATAGCACCAATGTGTTTATATTATGCATGGCTGGTACTTTCTGTTATGGGACAATTTAGGCTACTTTACAGAGCAAAAATTACTTTTGCTTTCCAATTCTATTCTACATTTGTACCCAGTACAAAAGAAAGAAAAGTTGATAGCAAGTTGATAGGAGGTTCCCCCAAGGCTAACATAGCAGATGTTCAAGACCCTCTCTACTCTTAAAATACTTTTTAAAAATTGACTGGAAGAAAGTACTCAGAAATGCCACAAACTAACTTAGAACAAGATATATACACATCATTGTTCTCTAAAATTTGCTGTAATTTTACATTTTACAGCAGCTGATAAACTGGAAATGGCCTGTCACAGCATAAATTGTTTTCATAGGATAATTCCAGGAGGGTTGTTTTTTTTTTTTTTTTTTTTTTAAGATGTATTCATTACAATGCACAAAGGGGCAAGAGAGGTAACTATTCACACAGGCTGGCATTTCCATATCCTTTACACATTCACTGGCAAGACAGAGATATCACTGGAAGTCTGTTCAGTGACACCAAACTGGTGTCTTGATCCCAGTCACGCTCCAGGAAATCTTCTCTTAACATTTACTACAAAGGATGATCAGGGAAATGTGTTTCCTTGTCCAAACTGGAATCATGCTTAAGGACTAATTTAAAGTTTTACCACTGACTTTCATGAGTTTTTGAAAAGTCCTACTTTGTTTTCAAGAAAAAAAATGCAATCACCTTCAAGGTGAAAAGTGCTTTGTCTTGATTAGAGTCTGAAGTGAAACAAGTATCCTTACAAAACCAAAATGTTGAGTTTGACACTAAGTGTTACATCTCATGAAAACACACATGCATTATCTGTAACTGTGCACACCAGGGCATCTCTGCATCTGTTACACAGAATTCTCTTGTTTCTCAAATGCTGATGAGCTGTATTTTCTTTGGCTGTGTTTTCATAAACAGCTAGGTCAAATGCACAGCTTACCATTGCCCTTATGACACACCTTGACCTTTTCTGTGAGCTGTTTCAACTCACTAACCCAGCAGAAAAATATCCCCTTCTTTTTGAACCCTAAGTTCGTTTTCTCACAGCCATTGAGGAAAAAGTCTGATGAGCATGAGTCAGTATAAAGTAAGTCACAGAAGCACGTGGTTGGGAACAGGGAGGATGAAAGCAGAATGAGGCCTCCTTTTTGTAGCAGTAACCTTCAGATTGGCTCAATTAATTTCTTGAAAGTTCGCATATCAACTAAAGGATATTTCACCATCCTCTTAGAGTGATGAAGAATCATGATTTTCTGCAAAGCAGCAGCAGTATCTGTTGCTCCTATTCCTCACTCAAGATGTCCACCCTAAATGCTGCACAGCCATTTTATGTAATTTGTATAAAGTTTATTTTAGTTGCTGTTTCAGAAGTGTTTCCATGATCACTTTCTTTGTAGCAGGGTTTAAAACAACTGTGCATAAATCATAAGCCAGAAGGATTTTAGCCAGTAACCCCACCCTGACAAAAAGTGGACAAGTCTCTGCTAGCATAGATTCAGAAAAAAATATTTTGCAGGGTAGCATTACATACCCTTTCTGTTGTGGAACTACCAGATATCGTCAATAACTTATCTTACAGTAGCATGATTTTTGTTTTTATTGTAGCATTTTGGGCACAGAATTAATTAAGAGCCACCTTTCTTACAGTTCCCCAAATTAGAAAAACAGGGCTTATCCTGGACTCAGGTATATGGTTTCCCAGACAAGTAAATAATGTGCTTATCCATACTGCAGTTAGCTTAGTTCTACTAATATACATTAAAGATTTTTCAAGCTAGGACAATTGTCTTTATCGTTCCATTTTCCTAGTGTAGTTTCTAAGTGTAGAATAAGCAGTCAATTTACATTCACACAGGTAAAAATCAGTGGAGTTCAATATATTGTAAATAAGCAAGCAGAACCATTAAATAAAATTGGATTTACATGCATCTCATGAAGATAATAGAAGTCTTTCTGACAAGCAATAACATTTATATAGATACACAGAGCTAGATGACTTTTTTTCTTATTAGAAATGTTAGGTTACTGTAAAAATAAATAAATAAATGATGTCTTGAAAGACCCACTAAATAGTTTTGACTAGAAAAACTCAGTGATAACACTAGTATCTTTCATCTCTCTGCAGAGAGCATCATGAACACTTGTACAGGACACTGATAGCTGCTGGCTGAGAAGATCTGAACCCAACTCCCCCCAAAACCCGATTGATCCATCAGTCTGCTGAAGTCCCTGAGGCCAGATACTCACTCTGTGTTTGCAAACTAACTGCAAGAAGGCCTATTGGCCACATATCTTACATGAACGCCCTAATCATCACATTATCAGGTCATTCTCTTTGCAAATCTCAACTTGTTCCCTGTAGAGAGTAATCTTTTCAACAAGATGAACTGAGAAAAGAACCTTCAAAATAAATTATAGACAAATAGGGCCCTCTGCTGAGCCATAATAAATGTATAATTTCTTAGGCTGTTGAGATTTTGAGAGATCTAACTTGAGTTTCCCATATCCCACTGTCTACTGGGAGATGTAATCCATGTAACAAAGACACCACAACTACCATTCCCTCATCATCATCTAGTATTTCACTTAATTTGCTTGTCCAACTGTTCACAAAATTAAAACGTTAAATCAATATAATTTTCTCTCTTGTCAGTGAGAAAAAAAAAATTAAATATCTCAGTTCCACACAGAATTTATTTTTAAATTTTGGTTCAGCTATTGAAAGTACATCACTCACACTAATATTAAAATATTAAGCATATGTGTTTGTGTGCGTGTCTGTTTGTGCAAAGTTCAAATGGAAAAACTCATAGGATTAAAATGAAAAACAAATATTTACCAAATTGTGGCCTAGTTAATTATTTCTTTTAAAAAAAATCCACAAACTTGAGCTATCATATGTTGTAAATGAGAGATCTAGCACTTCAAAATGTAGCAATCAATAAGCAACCTCATCATTATTTCTGTAAATTATGTTCAAATGAAAGATCTCAAAACTATGACACAGAACAATCAGCAAATTTGAGTTATTGCTAACTATTGAATATGTGTACAAGAAAGAAAACAAATTTGAAATTACTCCCATTTGGCCACAATTACAGCTGCTCAAAGTGATCTCAAAATTTAGATTTAAGGTTTATGTTAAACATATTTGGATATACTCCGACATCTTTAGCTTTAGTACGGTCTTTTGTAGCTTATCACTTTAGGATCAGCTTTGTAAGTAATTTGCACATGTGCCTAATGCCAGACAGGTAGATTCAAATGTTTTCACTGAAATAGCAATGTACGTGCATGACTATATTCTATTTTCAAATGCCTCAGTTCTGTTAAATCATGCTTTGAATTCACAGCTAACTCAGAAGACTATCAAAGAAAATTTTAAGTCAGAGAAACAATAAACAGTTTTAGCAAAAGTCACAGAACAACTGCCTAGTTTTTGGCTGAAACAGGAAACCTCTACAATCTACTGTGAATGCCCTCCTGAAGTTTGAAAACAGATTTTCACAACTTAAATAGTTACTGTTCTTTGAATTTCACTTCAGGTCTCACTGAAAAACTACATGTACTTGCTACTTGCATTTTAATAAATGATCCCTCAATTAAGTATGAGGATGAAAGCATTTTGGGCTGCAAAAGTTGTGTGAGACCAAATTCTTTTTCAGAGAAGCTTGGAGATTTATAATTTTAAAAGGTTTAGGATACAAGTTCATCCAATAGAAACTGCTACTGTTTACATACATATGTACACATATCCTTATCGCACTGAAATAAATTTATATAGATTAACACAACTATAATTTAAAGCTACGAATAGTTCACAGAAAGACTTGTGTATTTCACATAGGCTAAAATAGTAAATGTATAACACAACACTTTGGGTGGGGAGAGCAAGTAAGTTCACAAGGAACAATATTTATCCTGCAAATTTCTGGCGTAGATTTTGAGGGTTATTTACTGTGTTAAATCTATTTTTGATATCTATGTACTGTATTACCAGTGGATGACCTGCATCTGTAATAACAAAAAATTGCACTGGGAAAGTTCTTTCCCATCGACCTGCCAGCTCTGCAGTAATACATGAACTGTAAGGTATTTAATTTCTCATTTGTTCTGCTTCCTCAACATGTAACATGAAAGAGCAAAAATTAAATCACATAGCCAGAAACTGTCGATTGAAATAAATAAAAATATGTCTTTATCTACTAATTTTCTTTCAAAAAGAAGGGAAAGCTCCTAAATTAAGCAAAAATAGTTATAGAACCAAACTTGATATTGTAATTAATTTCAACTTACTACCTGTTCAGCTTCAAAGCCATATGAAAACAGAATATATTTAATTAAAACTTAATTCTATAACTCTTACATATATTAGATACATTTAACCTGTCTAACCAGTTACTCAACCATGTCCAAATTTAGTTCATCAGCACAGTACAAATAAGACACAATAGTTTCATTTTACATACTGCCACGTACAGTATTATGCAACCAGCCAGTAAAATGTTTCTGCAACAGGAAAACAAAGAAAAGTGCAAAGCAGCAAGAGAACAATAAAAGAGGCATTTTTTCCTGTTTTATCTTGTCACCAGAGGCATTCGCACATGCAGACAAGCTGACCATATATGTTCAGCCCTCTGTTGGAGAGGATTATGCAAGAAGCTTTCCAATCCAGATTTTTACCTGTTGAAGCATTTCTTCTGTAGCATTCAGTTTCAACTGATGCCCCTCAAGACAGATTTCTAAGTCCCGGATCTTCTCTCCTTGAGCTTCCACCTGGTCTGTAAGAACACTCACCTGTAATTTGAGAAGAGAAGCACAATGCTACTGAACTGACTGTAAATAAGTTTCAATTACCGTATACAATTAACATCCAAATGCACATTTAACAGCAAGTTCTCTTTTAAAGTCTTCAATGGTTTAACATTCTTGTGCACTGCAGCAACCTGTTCTATCAAGATAAGACAGTTTTTCAGTCTTACCTATATTTTTATTCAACTCCACCCTCTGACACCCCCCACCCTATTATTTTGTTTTAATATAAAAAGAAAGAGCATTCCTAGAAGAGATAGAAGACTATCTGTAGGTAGCCTGAGTCAGTTCATGCAGATGTCTGAAAAATTAGGAAGCACCAAACAAAAACATAGGATACTGAAAATATTTTATGTGGTTTTGGAGCGTGCATTGCCACTTTAGGTTCTGTTGGCATTTCACTCCCTAAAACGGATAAACAATAAAACTGTTCATTCAGAAACCAACCAATTATTTTACTTCTTACAAGAACAGAAAAATGCTTACCTATCAATAAAGTGTTCTGAAGTTAGAAAGAATGCAATGAGTAAAAGGCATGTTTTAGCAGAGGCAAAGATCTATTCCAAGAAAAATTCCCAGGCTTTGCAAGCCAAAACATGAAAGCAAGAGAAGTGAGATACAGACAATGAATCCCAGGAAAAGAAACAGTAGGTAATACTGGTAAAGAACTGTGGGAATGGTGATATAGACCAGTGAGTGTGTAATAAGAAAAGCCCAGCAGCCTAACTCAAAGCTTGCAAAGCTGAAAAAACTATGCTCAAGATAACATTAGAAAAATGTGGAAAAAATCCCGTTGTTAATTCCTATGTTAAGTAGCACATACTCTGTATATTCATTTTTACTATTTATTTATATAAAAACCTTGATTATACTAGAAAAATGTTATATCAAACAAAAAAGCAACCTTAGGTATTTAAACTCCAGTTTGAATGAAACGCATTAACAAAAACTTATGTATGCTCTCACATCCAACCCTATAACAGCTTTATTTAAAAAAAAAAAGACAGGTAGAGTACGTGCAAGTGAAACCTTTAAGATGTACCCACTACACAGCATTTCTAAAACCCAATCAACAAACAGATGAGTTCACTTCAGGGAAGTTGCAGAGGGAGTGACTGAGTGATCTGTATTTGTTTTATCTGCAAACATAATGACAAGCATGCCTTGAAAAGGAACTTAGAAAAAGAAAAAAAGAGGACTGACTTTTTTTTTTTTTTTTTCTCCTTTAAAGTAGTTGGCTGTATGGTAGAGTACAGATGAATGCTGGATGTGAGATGATAGGAAGAAGTGGGTGGAGGCAGATGGCAGGAGGACACATCTAAGCTGGGGCAGGGGGAGAACTCCTTGCAAGGCAGTCTGTTGCTTGTCTACTTTTTTGTTTTGTTCCCATTAAATGAGTGATGGCACAAAATAAAAGCCCTGTGATGTCAGAAAGCAAGAAGAAACAAACTGAAAGGAAACAAGCTCTACTTAAAGGGTCAAGTTAGGCTCCAACTAGAATTGTAACCTGTAAGGAAAACTCTGTATGTTAAATGTGACCTGCAAAGGAATTTAGTAAAACCGTAGCAGCTTTAGAGGTATGTGTTGGATGTTCCAGTAGTTAGGCTGAGAGGCACATTAGTCACTGAGGTCATATTTTCCTCTCTGTTCAGGATCACATCTGCCAGACTCTTCAGGGAATCAGTAGGCTGTGCACAGAATATAACTCCAGTGTATGCTACACTGGCAAGTCCATATTGCCTTAGCAGTACAACACACACAAGAGTCAGCCTGTGGATAATATATTTTCTGTAAATATCTATAGAAATTAGACATATTGAACAATTAGCTAAAGTCTGTGGTATAAGGGTTTAAAAAAACCAATCAAAGTAAACACCTCAAGAAGTACATTAGCTCATATACACAGGCACTGAGCTATAAGAAGGTATCCCAGATGCTGTAGCATTTCCAGCCTCCGCTACAGACTGAACAGTAGAAGCAGGTTTTAAGGTGCAATCTCTGACACTGCCTTGGTGGACAGAAATACAAGGTTCTGGTCCTGCTGCTTCTGTGGCAAGTCTGATGAAAGACTGAAGTGCTCCTGGCATCATATTCCCTACAGATTAGAGCTACAGACCACAGTCACTGGCACAATTGAACATGAGCTATAGGATAGAGGTGCTCTGTTTCCCATTGCTTCCTCATCCTTCGTGTCAGTAGTCACACTCAGGAGCCAGGTTTGTACCAGCAGACTCCCTCAGGCCAGTGTAACCTCAGCATGGGACTTGCCTGTGTTCTTCATATTCGACTGCCTAGATAGATTATGCAGACCTGGTGTAAACCAGGTTCTAAACTGAGCTCCATTTTGACATCTTTTTTTTGTTGTTGATGTTCATCTACCAGCCTGAGGCTTTCATCTATCTTACTTCCCCGGGATTTTTGGAGTTCTACTGCAATACTGTGCAGTGGGATACGAAAATGCATAAATATTGACTAAGCCTCTTGATTTGGTGGAGTTGTGATGGGACCAAAAGGCAACAGAGAGAAAATTTCTACATCTGATTTTACTACATTACTTTTGAGATAAACTTTAGGCAGGTCTCCAAATCATGTCATAAAAACCCCTTTCTTTGTAAGTTTGGCTGCATTCTATGGGTACCTATTTGTGTGGATGAAGAAATATTTACTAAAAATTAGCAGGACAAAGACAGGAAAGGTACATGCTAAGCAGTATACTGGAAGAGTCTTCAGAAACTTAAAAGTGCTGGAGACTAGCAGTCCTGTTAAATCCACAAAAGCTGATACATTTTGAACACCAAGATTCTGTCAAATCTGTACAAGCCTACCAGCATGCATGACCACCAACAACTGGCTGTATAGCACGAACCACATCTAAGACAACAGTGGCTGCTATATGCAGACAAAGATTACAGGACTATACACACATGCAATGAAACAAAGGAGACCTTCAGGGACAAAGCCACAGGTGCATCAGTACAACCCTCTGCTTCTGAGTAAACAGCTGGGCTTGGCCTCCTAATTGTTGCTCCAATTATGAGTTACTCATGTGTGTGAGGGAACTGTGCAAGAAGTGAATATACTGTGTGAAAAGTTGTTTGCTATTATTAATAGAATATAGAAGTTACAGTTAATAACCACTTGATTAATAAAAGATGTTCTAATAACTATCAGTTGTGATGTCTCCCCCGACCTGATTCCCTCTTAGAAAAAACGGGATTTGTAGCACACACTTAAACCTTAAATTCCAACCTGAAGTTTATTTTTAATTATTTTTTTCCTTCTTTTCTAAATTTGGTAATAGCAATTTAACAGTGACAAAAAAAAAAAATCCAAACAAGCCTAAGCTTATGTCTCACAAACCATTTATTGTTTATTTAACAACATAACAGCAGTGAGAATTCTGCTCAGTAAATTAACACAAGTGTGAACAGAACATACAGGATAAAACATGCTTACAGAAACTAGTAACTCAAGTAGCAAGAACACCTACCCAGTATAGTTAAGTTTTGTTTGATATAAATATGTATGCTTAAAATATGCTTTTGTAAGTGTAAAGAGATAGAATATGCAAAGACCATTTAAAGAATCTCCAGCTTTAGTTTTAAGAAGTATATTTAAAAATGTAGAGTTTACTAATAGTGAAAATATCTAGAAAAAAATAATTAAGTTTTTTTTTATTTTAAGCTGTACAACATGTATTCTCCAGGAGGAAAACATACATGGGACAGTGGATCTGTTTGAAAAAGGCTTGGTAAACTGAGAAAGGTGAAACCTGGGAGAGCTTAGGCATGCATTTTACTGTTAAATTTTAATTTTACCGCTTTACCTCCCCCTTAATCTTTTTGCTGATGTAAAGCAACTTTGGAACAGTATACAAGCAGGAAAAATATCAGTTTTCTCTACCTGCCAGTCTTCCAATTCATTAAAAATGGTGGCACACAGAACCTAGAAAAGTCAGCTGGCAAAACCTAGCAAACCTAGAGTGAGAACCACTACCATAGCATTGTCTTGGGACTCCACAGCATTATTTTAAAGTTGTTTTTTCTTTTTTACCGCTGTCAATTGTCTCCCTCTTATTGCTGTTAGTCCCCTCTCCTTTACCAAATTACCCCACCATGAAATCCATCAGATGGATTATACAAATTAATTCCTGATTAAATATCAGTTACATTTGGTGACTTGCTAACTTTCAACAGAAAATACTCTATCACTTCAGTTTTTACTCCCTGAATATGAACTATGTAGACAATGTTTTCTTAAGGACATACCTGCAGTATGAGTGACTCTTTATCACCTTCTAATCGTGCCAATCTTTCTTGATAAGTTTCATTATTAGATGAATGATGATTCACCTGTGACTGGGGGGAAAAAGCACTATGAGAATTTTTACAGATAATATTAAAATTTCAAGCAATAGTTAATAAAAAGTTATATATTTTGAATGGTTTTTATAATATGAAAAACACGCAAAATGTGTCTACAGACCAAAACTGTTTATTTCATATGCATTAAACCTTTTGAATGTACCTTTTTTTTAGCTGGATTTTGAATACTTTCTCATTTCCAGCAGTGAAGAGTGTTATAGGAATAGATTTTATATTTTCTACAAATTATAATTTCATTAGCAAATACCATCTTATCAAGACAAAACCCATTTCATTTGAAATACCTGGTCTCAGCAGCTTTTTGCCAAATGAGGAAACTTGGTACTTATTTTTAAATGGTAAAAATTGCCATATGTATTATACTATTCCTAGAAATTACTGAAATAAAAGTATAACTTTTTTGTTAACAATTAACAAATTTATCACATTCTTATCAGGAACAACTCCAGCTACATAATCACTTACGGATTTATAAATAGTTCTAAGAAGCAAGACCTTCTAAAACAGGGCCCATTCCTAACTATTATGTCTCATTTCCTATGAATTTGAATACTCCATAGAGAAACACCACAATTAAAAAAAAGATCTGCAGATTTACTTCAAAAAGTTTAGAAGAGTCCCATAGCTTCATTCTGCACACTAAAACATTGTGCAACTGTGGGAATGGAGCTGTTTGGTTAGAGCATCAAAAGTAACATGAGCCCTTAGTGTTTCATTGCCCAGCTCCATTGCAGGCAATGCGTTTCTGCTGGGGAATAAAACGCTCTGTCTGGCTTTTCAGCTAACCCAAGAATCCAACATCACTGAGTTCCCTTCAACTACTCCAGTCTGCAGCTAACTACTCATTTATAGTTATCTGTACAATGGCACCAATATAATCATAATCCTCCTCCCCAGCTGTTCTTTCTTTTTCAACTGATCACTTGTGAATAGTAATTTTTTTTTTATAGTAAATGTATTCATGCCTTCTTGATTTCCACTGAGGTCTAACAGGCCCAAAAGTAAAACAGATGATGAAAATAAAAATGGTGCTAATGAATGCGAATCAAGAAATCAAATATTAATCCAATCAAAAGACACTTTTTAAGCCATAAGTGTTGAACTAAATATGGCATTTTTACGAGCTGAGAGCAACTGATAATTTGAGCAAGCAACTGACATGTTTGTCTCTGATCATTTTGAAAGGAATTGAGAAAATCACAAAGACATCAGCAAACAGGACCAAAAGGAGTCTGAAGATATCATCTGGTTCGTTATTCCACCCTAGGGCTGATGACACTTTGCAATATTCTTGTCTTGCTTAATACTAAAGACCTCCAGAAATGGATTAAACAGCCTCCCCGGATAACCTACTTCCTAGTTACCCATCATTAGAACATTTTTCTTAATGTCTAACCTGAATCATCATCTCTTCAACTTCAACATACTGGTTCCTATCATATCACCACGCATTAAAAAAAAGGTCCTTCCCTTTGCTTCAGAAATTAGATCTCTAATTAACAGACCAGTCTTTGGACTAAACAAACACAAATTTTTCTGTCCCTCACTGTTTTACTTTTCAAGATCTGTTTTGTTGCTTTCTTTTGGTTCCTCTTCACCCATTGTTCCTTGACTTCTTTTGAAATTAAGTGCCTAACTTTTGTAGTACTATAATGAAAGTAAGGAATCCTCACATAAGTAAACAACATGCATTTCTGTATGCCTGCCTAGCTAATCCTTTGATCTCAGCTATCCATCCTCAAACATACTGCCAGCCATTCTGCTTGGGCTGTTACTCCACTTAGAGAGCAAAGTCTTATACTGTTCTTTAGAATCCAAAATCTTTAGCCTTGGTGTCTATGTTTCCATTAGAGTTAAAACTCCATTACATACCATTAAATAATTTTTCTCAATGGAGAGCCCACAGGCCTTCCCCAGTACATCTCTGGCTCACACTCAATGGTAGGGAAGACTTTTCTGCACCTAGAACATCAAGTATTCAGGCAGCTGCTAGGCAGGAAAAGGTTTTCAATGACAAAACCTAGTGACGAAGACTGCCTAGTCAAGTAGATTTTACTTGTAACCACTTGTGTAACCACTCCCCCCCAGCCTTACAGGCACAGTGAGTTAAATTACTGCCAATACATTTTTACATAACCAATCTGTCATGAATACAAAACAAAGTCCAACATTTTATATAATCTGTAATTAAGATTTAGTTCAACATAAAATCACAAATAAGATACTTTACTACACTCACATTTACCAATTGTATAGCCTCCAATGATGTCTGCTGCACTGAGTGACTGTGATATATCCTCTGCTGGAAGTCCAATACTCAATATCCCTGTGAAACCTAGTGAATCACACCCATGTGAACAGAAAAGGGGGAAGAAAAAAACCCAACCTTGCCAACAGGTCAGCCAGAGAGTGCTCAGATAAGTACAGGAAAGTACAGTAGGCAAAAAATGACCTGCTAAATAAAGTGGCTGATTGACACACAGCAGTTGTTTAAGACTTGGGAAATCTTTGTGGCATGCATAAAGACAAGATAAAACAATGTAATATGAACCATGGCCATCTGTGGATGGTTGGAGTGCATTCTGCAGTTGTGAAAGTCAGTACTGAGAGAAAACTGAACACATATAGTTTGAAATCACACGTATCAGCAGCAACTGAATACAGGACCTATAACATTAGAGTCATAAGACTACATATGACTCGAGCTGGTGTAAGAGCTCATGAACAATAAACCTAGACTTCTGTAACCACATGACCAAAAGGCTGAATCTTTTCCACAAAGATGTTATTTCAGAAGACGTAGCCTTCAAGACCAAAAATCATTACCTGGGCTCCACAAATTATAAGCTAAATGTGTTAATTATATTTCTTATAATGAAAGAATGAGCGAAATTGCATAAAACATGTAAAAAAGTTTATGATAACACAATAAGAAAGTTAAAGGAAAGATATGCTAAGGCAAGGTCGTTGAAACTATGTTGATGGTAATACCACTGCAGATGAAAGGTCAAGTGTATACTATAAACACTTTGCCTAAGGGAGCTGCAAATTTATTTCTTGAAGCACCTGTATTATAGTCTCCATATAGATTTTGGATATAGTTTAATGCCCATTAGATTGCATCAGATATTAATATAAAATGTTTCCTGACACAATTCCAAATCAACAAGGCTTTTGCATTCCATCACCTGCTTCAGCTTCTTCTTCATCTTTAGTTTCCAAATCTCTCTCTGGAATACGCTCTTTACTCTAACATGGACATAATATTGGCAGCTGCTGGAAACTTGACTGTCTAAGTATCACTTACATGATCCAGACATTACAGAGTCCTTTTACAAGAAAAGGTCTTAAATATTCTTTCAGAGTACATGATACAAAAAATCAGACTTCAGAGTATGATTCAACAGCTTTAATTTAAAACAGGAATAAATCAGCAAAAATATAAAAGCGTACTGCAAGAATAGGAAGAAACGTTTGATTGACTCATCTATCTTAATTTTCAAGCCTTCTCAGAGCCCAGTAAGCATGAAATGTTATGTTTTCCTGCATGTTATTTTAATCGGAAACAATTCAGAATGCAGACTATTGTCAGAACAGAACCACCACCATTATACAGTGCTTCTGTACAGATGTTCTGTTCAGAAGCTCCTGTAACAGAACTTCTAGCTGAATCTTGATAGTCTGTAAAAGTAAGCCCCTTAAAGCAAGCACATATGAAAGATAATAAAATTGAATACAGTCCAGTTTATATTCCCTCATGTGTGCTGTTTCAGTTTCAGCTCAAAGTATCTCCAACACTGCTAATTTTAAAACAAAAAAACCAACTTCTGAAGTTGATCAGCAAGGTATTACACAGAAATTTGTCACTAATACCATGGATCTCATATTGGGCTGTGGAGGGGGGAGGACCTGGGAAAAGAAACCTGGCAGTCAGTTTGAGCACTGATTTGTAAGCTTTTTCAACAAGACACATGCCTCTTTCAGAAGACAGATTATGTCATAACCCTCCTCTCTTCTTATTCAGTCACATGAACCATTTTTAGTGCCACTGATAATTGCACAAAATGATTGTGACAACTATAACACTTGCATTAATCGGAAAGATTAAGGACGTGCTTGATGTATTGTCTTTTGTTGCAGTTTAGCAGCTGAAAACGAGTATAGCCAGCAGAGTGCAAGCAGTTTCCCCACAAGATATCAGCAGCACACAGACCATACTATTATATTTCAATTCAAGAAAGTGTACACTGTAGACTTTTTCCAGTCTATTTGGAGTTGGTAATATTTAGAAGAGTATGGACTCTCCATCTCTTCATTACTCTTTTGGGTCAGCAGAATTGATATTCTGAGTCACAGTAGTTACTACTGTGTAGGGATGAGCTAGTAGCCTACACAGCAAACATTTTTATTTTTGGCATCTGACTGACTGTAATACAAATTTAATCTTGGAATTTTAGTTCTACTTCACATTCACACACATCTACACATCTGAATATATGCACATTCCCTCAGTATATTTGAGGAGGATGAAAAGGCTGGAATGTGGTTTCTGGATCTGTAATTCTTGTCTTTCATCTGAAGGCAATTAATAAATCAATAACAGGATTTTCTATTTGCCCTTGTTCCTCATCGGTTAAGTGAAAGTGGCACTTTGAAAAAGCTAACAGCACATAGTCTGAAATTAAGCAAAGACAGAGATAGGGAAATTTCTGTAGTCCTTAAAACAAAAGAATTCTGTACAAATATTTATATTTTATCTGGATGTTTTTTCCTAAAACTAATACCTATTTTCTTCTCCAGACAGTTACATTACTTAAAAGAAGATATCCTTACAGAAATCATAAGATTCACCCTCGATATCATAAGTTTAACAGCTATAGCATGGGTTTGATCACTCCACCTCTCGCTAGTACAGATTGTAAATAGAATCCAGAGGAAAGGAAAGCAAGGCATAAGAATAATGTACACCTATT